ATACACACAGACAGAATATTGTATATATAACAAATAAATAAATATATATTTTTTAAAAAAATCCCATTTTAAATTAATTTGTGAAATTTCTCTACTACCTTTAATGCATGAATTTTGAATTTGTTTTAAGAAGGCAAGATATTTAGTGCCATTTAATATCTGTTTTAAAAAGGCAAGAATTTTAGTTTTTAAAATAAAGGGTTTTTTAGATTTTCCTCTCTTTTTTAAATTGTGTGTGTGTATCTGTGAGGGTATGTGCACTGGAGCACTGGAGCCCACGGAGGCCCCGGGTATTTGACCCTGTACTGGAGTCCAGAGTACATGCTGGGGACCGCACGCAGTCCTTAAGTCTCCAGGCCATCTCTCCAGCCCTGGAAAGATTCTTTATGGAAATATTTTAACAGTAAAAGAAAAAAAACAGGAATTTTTTTTTGTTTTGTTTTTGGGGGTTTGTTTGTTTCAAGACAGGGTTTCTCTGTGTAACCTTGGCTGTTCTGGAACATGCTTTGTAGACCAGGATGGCCTGGAGTTCATAGAGATCCATCTGCCCCTGCCTCCTGAGTGCTAGGATTAAAGACATGCGCCACCACTGCCCAGATAGGGTTTCTTTAAAACAAACAAACAAAACTCTTTTTAAAAAATATTTCATATGGTTTATTTAACTTTATTTTATTTGCATTGGTGTGAAGGTGTCAGATCGCCTGGAAATGGATCTTCAGACAGTTGTGAGCTGCCATGTGGGTGCTGAGAATTGAACCCAGGTCCTCTGGAAGGGCAGTCAGTGCTCTTAACTGCTGACCCATCTCCCCAGCCCCCGACCCCCCCCCACGAAAAAAAATTCTTTATCCCTTTTTTTTTTTTTTTTTTTGGTTTTTCGAGACAGGGTTTCTCTGTGGCTTTGGAGCCTGTCCTGGAACTAGCTCTGTAGACCAGGCTGGTCTCGAACTCACAGAGATCCACCTGCCTCTGCCTCCCGAGTGCTGGGATTAAAGGCGTGCACCACCACTGCCCGGCTATCCCATATATTTTTTAACTTTATTTTATTTGCATTGGTGTGAAGGTGTCAGATCGCTCTGGAACTGGACTTTTCAGGCAGTTGTGAGCTGCCATGTGGGTGCTGAGAATTGAACCCAGGTCCTCTGGAAGGGCAGTCAGTGCTCTTAACTGCTGACCCATCTCCCCAGCCCCCGACCCCCCCCCACGAAAAAAAATTCTTTATCCCTTTTTTTTTTTTTTTTTTTGGTTTTTCGAGACAGGGTTTCTCTGTGGCTTTGGAGCCTGTCCTGGAACTAGCTCTGTAGACCAGGCTGGTCTCGAACTCACAGAGATCCACCTGCCTCTGCCTCCCGAGTGCTGGGATTAAAGGCGTGCACCACCACTGCCCGGCTATCCCATATATTTTGTAATCTGCAGCTATTCATATTAGAAGCATGTTATCTTTTGATCATTAGTGAGTGACTCATGAATTATCAATATACCCTGTTTTGCCCTCATCTGACTAAGAGTTGGTGTTTGGTTAGTATTAGCCATGCCCATAGAGCTCATTAACTGAACTAAAGTCCCCACTGTGAGTCACCAAGGCTGGGAAGTGCTTTTCTCTGCTTGCAGCTCTCAGGAGCCCTGCTGCTCCCTTCCTTCCCTTCCTGGGGTCTTCACATCTGGACCTCCTGCGGGTCTTCACATCTGGACCTCCTTGCCTTCAATTGCTGAATGGGATCCTCCTGACTGGGCGTTGCCAGCCTTACCTGAACTTACTCGGACCACCTACTTTTCCAGGTTAGCAGCTCGATGTCTCTGCTTCTGGTAGCTGAAATGCAGTAAAATTTGTCTGAAGTTGACAGCCTTCATAAATGTTTTTGCTGTTGCCTGTGTTTGATAAACTCTCTGTAGACTTTTCCTCTGGTTGTGGGTACCAGAATTATGTTAGCTTTATGTTTAATGTAGGAGAGGTACTTTTAGGATGAATTTCTTATGTTTGGTATGATGGCATGTGTCTATAATTCTGTCAGGAGACTGAGACAGAAAATCACTATGAGTCAAAAGCAACCTAGGGCTACCTAGTGAGACCAGCCTGAGCTACAGAGAAAGACCCTCTCATAAGGGGAGTGTGAGGGAGAGAGGGGCCATGTGCAGTGAAACCTTGGGCTCCAGTATTTCTAATAGCAATAGGAAACACTGGCCTTAGATTCGAGATAGAATGACTGACTTACACACTCCTGACCCATTGGGCTCCTGGGTCAGCAAAGCCACTGAAGGCCCCAGTCCTAGGCCTCTGCTTTTCTCTTCCTCCTCACAGTCCTCTCAAGTCCTAAACACTACCTGTACCAGGACACTAAGTTGAGTTTTCTTTGTAGTTGATTTATGTAGTGCCCGTGTACACACATGGCATGGTACATGTGTGGGACTCAGTTCTCTCCTTCTGCCTTTACCTGTGTCCCAGTAACCCGGTGCTAAGCTTGGCTGCAAGCACTTCTACCTGCTAAACCCCCTCTCCAGCCTTGAATTTCCTTTTACTGATTCTACATTGGTTAAGGAAAAGGCATTATTTTGTGATTAGATGAGACATGCATGGTAACCAAAGCATTGGAACAATGATAAAGCACAGCAGCAGTCAGAGAGCACATAAAAAGCTCGTTGTTGGGTGGGCAAGAGCCCAGTGGGGAGAGCAGTTTGGCTCCAAACCTGAGGACCTGAGTTTGATCCTCCAGCCTTGCAAGAGAGAACAGACTCTGACAAGTTGTCCTCTGACCTCCACACATACACCATGGCACTTGGATGTGCGCACACGCATACACAAAAAAGTGAATAAATAGAATTAGTAAAGCATGTTGTTGAAAAAGATGGCAGTTGCCCCAAAGCATGTGCATTGTCTCTGGATATGGTGTGTCTGGAGCATCAGGATGGCATGCTTCCTTCCAAGGGAGTGTTTGGGATTAAGGTGGCAAAAAGGAAGGAGAGAAAATACGGAGGAAAAGAGCTTGTAGCAATTCCCAAGGTGACTGGCCTGTGCTTCCATGGCACTTTAGTTTTCCATCTTTGAGCCCTTGGTTGGTGTTGGCCCTGTGCCTGCAGGAAGATGGCAGTGCTGCGGCAGCTGGCGCTCCTACTCTGGAAGAACTATACTCTGAAGGTGAGTCCAGGCCCGAGGAAGGGTGGCCATCGTCCATTGGATGCTCAGGGAAAGCCCTCAAGGACGGTCTACAGGGTGGCCGTTTCTCTTGTAGAAGCGGAAAGTTCTAGTGACAGTCTTGGAACTGTTCCTGCCCCTGCTGTTTTCCGGGATCCTGATTTGGCTTCGCTTGAAAATTCAGTCAGAGAATGTGCCCAATGCCACAGTTTACCAAGGCCAGTCCATCCAGCAGCTGCCTCTGTTCTTCACATTCCATCCACCTGGCGGGAGCTGGGAGCTCGCCTTCATCCCTTCCCACAGTGATGCTGCCAGGACCATCACGGAGACCGTGCAAAGGGAGCTAGTGATCAGCATGAAAGGTGAGACCTGGGAGGGGCTTGTGGTTTGGGTCTTTGTGACAGTTTCCTGTGCCTCCTCCAGGGCACAGGAAAAGCTGAGTCCACACTCAGAAACTCATCATGTTGGCTAAATACCTTTATTAGTCCCTGGACTACCTTATCTCAGTACACAGTGAGGCTCAAGAGCCCGGCCTCCCCTCTGTCCAATGCTGAGGGGACCAATGAAGAAACGTGTGGTAGTTAGTGTTGGCCATATCTAGCTCCACGGTCGCACCTAGTGATCGCGAGCAGCTGGGTGGGCCCCAGTCCAGAAAAGCCGTTTGATTCTGAGAGAGCAGAGCACAGTTTGAGTACATGGTACCAACAACCTTCCTGGGGTGGGTTTCAGGGGACAGCTCTGAATTAAGTCACAGGAGGCCTGTGGAGGGAGCCACCCTGGTAATGTGTGCTAGCCTTCTTTTCTGTATCTTTGCTTTCAAGATAAAACTATTGTCCCTTTCCCTCTTCCTGTTGGCATAGACTGCCTATAGCTCGTTTCACCCCACCAAAGGATTACAACAAAGCTCTGTACTTAAAAGGAGGGTCAGGGGACAGAGGTCATTTGAGCAACTCCAATATTTAAAGCTTGCCATGCTGGTCATGGTGGCGCATGCCTTCAAATCCAGCACTTGAAAGGCAGAGGCAAGTGGATCTGTGAGTTCAAGGCCAGCCTGGTCTACAGAGTAAGTTCTAGGACAGTCAGAGTTACACAGAGAAACCCTGTCTTAAACAATAAATAAATGAGGCAAGCCGGGCGGTGGTGGCGCACGCCTTTAATCCCAGCACTCGGGAGGCAGAGGCAGGCGGATCTCTGTGAGTTCGAGACCAGCCTGGTCTATAAGAGCTAGTTCCAGGACAGGCTCCAAAACCATAGAGAAACCCTGTCTCGAAAAACCAAAAAAAAAAAAAAAAAAAAAAAAAACCCAAATAAATAAATGGGGCATTGCCTGCTCTTCCAAAGGTCCTGAGTTCAATTCCCAGCAACCACATGGTGGCTCACAACCATCTGTAATGAGGTAATGCGGTCTGGTGCCCTCTTCTGGCCTACAGGCATACACACAGACAGAGTATTGTATACATAATAAATAAATAAATATTTTTTAAAAAAACAATAAATAAATTAATAAAATAAGACTTGCCATGATTGGGGGAGTGAGTGGGGCTGTTGCCATAGACTGCAGCCCCTGGCCCTGTTTTGTTACAAGTTTCTGTGACTTGGCCCTGCTGCTGGCCTGGTATTCCAGCCCGATTCAGACTGCAGCAGGAAGACTAAGTGCTACCCAGGGCTTCTCTGACTGAGCAGTTCTACTGTCCGCAGCAGCCTAAATCTCTGCCAAGACAAAAGCCACTCTAGTCTTGAGGGTTCCCACAGCTTTTGACAGCCTTGTCAGTGTGCTGTCTTTTATCTGAAGTGTCCTGGCCTTCCCAGGCTTCTCAAGGAGAGGGATGATTAGGCAATGTGTGGTTTGCTGCTTTGTCCACAGTGCGTGGCTTTTCCTCTGAGAAGGACTTTGAGGACTACATTCGGTACGACAACTGCTCCTCCAACGTGTTGGCCGCTGTGGTATTTGAGCACACCTTCAACCACAGCAAGGACCCCCTGCCGCTGGCGGTGAGACTTTGATTCCCCTCCACACGCTTTGATTTCCCTACACACACACACACACACACACACACACACACACACACACACACACTGTGCTGAGCCTCATTTCCCCTCAGTACTCACTACACTTGCAAATAAGGATGCTTTTCCTCAACTGCCCCCTGCCTAAGAGTCAACCTTAAGCTGTCCCTGGGAACTGTGGTACTCAGTCCGTCTGAGGGAGCTTGGTGATGTTAACCTATAAGTCCAGGACAGTTTTTAAAAATCTACCAGCCCATGGACAGTCACTTAACTTTTGCATTTTATAAAAGGTTTCTGGGTCTCTTTGGATAAAAACCAACTAGAATAAGGAAGAACATAGGTGTTTTGGACTTAAATATAGCTTTAAAAAAATGAAGGAAGCTCTTTGCTTTCTAGACGGTTTTAGAACTGAGCAAACTGATGGGGCGATGGTGGCTTGGCCTTTAACCCCAGCACTCGGGAGGCAGAGGAAGGTGGATCTCTGTCAGTTTGAGGCAGCCTGGTCTACAAAGCAGGTTGTAGGGCAGCCAAGGCTACACAGAGAAACTCTGCCTCAGGAAAACAAAACTGAGCAACTCTCTCACACGATGGTGGTGCTCGGCCATTGAAAATGTGATAATGCTGGACATGGTGGTGCATGCCTTTAATTCCAGCACTTGAGAGACAGAGGCAGATGGATCTCCATGAGTTCAAGACCATCCTGGTCTACATAGTAAGTTCTAGGCCAGCCAGAGATACACAGTGAGACCCTGTCTAAAAAAGTATTTGTGTTGCTGAGTAACGGAAGAGAAGTGGCTACAACATCTGGCTACAACATCGCATAACTACTCGGTGTATCCCTGTGTCCCTGCTGGGAGGAATAATTGCCTCTGGGGCTGGAGAGAGAGCTCAGCAGTAAGAGCACTGGCTGCTCTTCTGGGGGACGCAGGTTGAATTCCCAGCACCCACATGACAACTTACAACTACAGTTCCAGGGGACGCAACACCCTCACACAGACATACATGCAGGCAAAACCCAGTGCACATTAAATAAAAATAAATAAATCATGAAAAAAAAGAATGTAGGTAGTGGCACAGGCCTTTAATCCCAGCACTTGGGAGGCAGAGACAGGTGGATCTCTTTGAGTTCAAGGCCAGCCTGGTCTACTGAGTGAGTTCCAAGACTGGCTCTGTAGCTACTAAGAAATCCTGTCTCGAGGAGAGAGAAAAAAGAATAAAGAATGTCTCCCTCTGATGTTTTGAGGCAGTTGGGGTAATTGCAGGGCAGGGCACGATAAGCTCCTGGTGACGCCATCCTAGTGAGGAAACACACCCTCGGGCACTCTGGCCTCTACTCTTCCAGATGAATCCTTCAGAATGGTTGATTTTCTCTTCTGTTTTCACAGGTAAAATACCACCTACGCTTCAGTTACACGCGAAGAAATTACATGTGGACGCAAACAGGAAATGTTTTCCTAAGAGAGAATGAAGGCTGGCACACCACTTCTCTTTTCCCACTTTTCCCAAGCCCAGGGCCAAGGGAACCATCATCACCTGATGGCGGTGAGCCAGGTGAGAGACACTTAGGGACCATAGTTCTAACCCCAGGTTGCTAACTCCTGATCACTCTAAGGAGTCCAAACCACCTCACCTTCTCTACAGAAAAAAATTGGGGGATTGGGGTGGTGAGACAGGGTTTCTCCATGTAGCCCTGGTTATCCGGGAGCTCACTTTGTAGGCCAGGCTGGCCTTGAACTCACAGAGATCTGCCTGCTTCTGCCTCCTGAATGCTGGGATTAAAGGCGTGTATCACCGCTGCCCAGCCAGGAAATTATTTTTATAAACTTCTCAATTGTGAAGGGAAAAACACTTAATAAAGCTGTCTCCTAAAGGTTAAGTCTAAGCCTTAGAAAGAGTAGCATCCCGCCCCCACTTCAGAAGACATGGGTCCTTGAGTGAAACATTCATCACTCTGGTTTTTGTGTCTTGTGTTTTTCGAGACAGGGTTTCTCTAGGTAGCCTTGGCTGTCCTGGAACTCACTCTATAGACCAGGCTGGCCTCGAACTCACAGAGATCCCCCTGCCTCTGCCTCCCATGTGCTGGAATTAAGGCATGTGCCACCACCACCCAGCTGTCACTCAGGTTTTTAAAAGCCTCATTTTAACCAACTTTTCAGGCTTGTTTTTTTGTATCCCTTCCCTGGCCTTCTCTGTGTTTGATTTTATAACATTTTGAAAGGCTGCAGGTTCTTGATTTAACTCAGTAACTTGCATAGAAGTTCATGTTGATTATTCCAGTTCCCTGTCTATGCATACTGTGGTCTGTGTGGTGGAGCTTTCTGTTGTTCATAGGTCTGTCTGTTCTGAAGCACAGGAACATCTTGGACCCCAGCTAGAGAGAGGTAAGAGGTGGCTCGGACCGATGATCCAGGGTGAAAAATAGCTCAGTCTGACCAAGACTGGCAGATGTCCAGAAGTTCTGGAGAACACTGTCTTCTGCAGGTCTCTCCAGGGAACAGGACTCAGAATGTACAGCTGGCAGGCAGGAGGCATCTGACGAGCAGCATTTAGAGACACCTCTCACTGGTTCTAGGACCCACCCTAAGGCTAACACTCTGGGTTGGGGTCTTAAATCTGGAAAATGAACTAAAATGAACAAGGAGCGATAGAGTGAGAGAGGTTCTACACCAGTGAGTAGACCTGGAGCTCAGGAGAAGCTGCAGCCAGCTACCACATCAGTTGCCATGTCAACCAGCTGGACACGCTGGCTGACAGATGCTACCGTGTAGCTCCTCAAGCCTGTCTTGTTTGTTTGTTTGTTTGTTTCTGTCTTGTTTCCTGAAAGCAGTAGAAAATATCTCTTTAAACCAGGGATGGTGGTACACACCTCGGATCCCAGTACTTGGGAGGCAGAGACAAGCAGATTTCTGAGTCGAGGTCAGCTTGATCTACATAGTAAGTTCCAGGACAACTAAGAGATCCTCTCTCAAAAACAAAACAAAACAAAAGCCTGGGGCTAAAGAGATGGCTCAGAGGTGAAAGCCCTGGGTGAATACCCAGCACCCACATGATGTCTGATAACTGTAGCTCCAGTGTCAGTGTCAGGGAATCCCATGTCCTCTGGCCTCTGCAGATACCGAGCAATCATGTGATGCACAGACAGGCGTGCAGGCAAAACATCCAAATACATAAAGTAATCTTTAAGAAAAAATTTTTTAAAAAAGTAAAAATTTAAATCTTAGAGGAAAGGCTGACAGATATCAATGAGTGCAAACTCAAAAAATTGCCCCCAGAAGAAAAAGCCCAATCACTAATAGAAGACTCGGAAAAATGTCTGCAGCAGTTGACAAAGGGAAAATGTCAGCCAGACGTGGTTGTTCAAACCCTTGAAAGACTTCCCCGAGTTGTTTAGGAGTTTATAAAAGCTGCAAAAGTAGGTAGGAAGGTTACAACATTGGTGCCAGGCAGGTCAGTTCTAATCTCACTTTTGTCCCAGATGTCCATGCCTCAGACTCACTGACGGCATCCTGATAAGTATATGTCCCCAGGGGTGATGAGATGGCTAAAGTTAAGAGCGCTGACTGTTCTTCCAGAAGACCCATATTTGATTCCCAGTACCCACATGGCAGCTAACAACCTTATGTAACTCCTGTTTCAGTTGACCAGGCATGTTACGTGGTACATAAACATATATCTCCCAAATACCCATTCTCATTAAAAAAAAATTAAATGAAAGGCTGTGCCCAGAATACTCTGAAAGAACAAGATAACCCACAACATTCCTCCAGTGGGAAAGTGGTAGATTACAAAGTGATGGCTTCATGCCTTAGACCAGTGGTTCTCAACCTTCCTGGTGCTGCATCCCTTTAATACGGTTCCTCATGTGGTGACCCCAACCATAAAATTACTTCATTGCTACTCATAACTGTAATTTTGCTACTGCTAATGAATCACAGTGTAAATATCTGATATTCGAGATATCTGACATGTGACCCCAACAGAGTGGCTGCGGACCGTGAAGAACCACTGCTTACACTGTCAAGTCCCCACAAAGTTGTAATGATAAAAATGGCTGCATCACTTGATAGTCTCCTGAGGAAACAATGCGCCAGCAAGTAGCAGGCAGTTATATGTGAGGAAAACCGTACTGTCGTTGTGACTAGGCTTGACTTGGAAGACAAAGTTTATGGTGTCCCATCCTCACCTGAACCCCTCACCAGCTCTGTGGCTTCCTGGGCCTGTCTGTCTCTCCAGTGAGGACAGCATTTGCTGCTGTGAAGTGTCCTTGTAATGATGGGAATTATTGCTCCACCAGCACTGGCCTTGACACTTACCAGTGACATTACGGTCATAAAACCAGAGAAAGAAGAATGGCAGCCCTTGGTAACCTGTGCCATGGGCATGGTTAGTGTAATCTTTGCAGCTCCGAGGGAAAGGGATCCTGGCAGTCGGGAGCCAAGGAATCCTAGTGCTACAGCTCAGGGGGAGAAGTATTCTGGTAGTTGGGGGCCAGGGAATACTGAGTGTTACAGCTCAGGTGGGAGAATATTCTGGCAATTGGGAGCCAGGAAATAGTAAGGTCACAGTAAGCATAGCAGCTGACAGCCCTGCTCTAGGGAAGGTTTCCCCAATGTAACAGCTCTGCTCCAGCAGGAGAGGGCTTCCCCATTGGAGTTGTTACAAAGCTCTGGAGCATAAGAGCATAACAGCTTTGCTCTGCTAGGGGAAGGGCTTCCCCAGTGAAAGACTGCCATTACACAGTCCTGCTCCTCTCACTCCCTCTCAGCTCAGACAAAAGGTCTTCACCCACCCTCATTCAAGAGATTTACCCGGAGGGAAGAATTCAGGAGAGTGTCTGCCTCTGTCAGGGTGGAAAAGGGGCAGCCACAAACTGAACAACCACAGGGCTTATGTAGGACTTCTTAGGGGTGGAGTTTTTCCAGGGAGATTTTCAGAGTGGGACTTAGTCAGATTTCAGTCCCTTGAGCTCAAATCTGGTTGGTTTTCAGGGGCAGATTTGGCTCTGGTTTCAGAGACAAACTAGGTTTCTTTCACTGGCCCTTTCTAGCCTTTCTGGCTCTTGTTTTGGGACCAGGGCATATTTCTTTCACTGTCTCTGGCTTTAGGGCCAAAGTTTGTATCTTTGACCCTGGTTTCAGAATCAGGTGTATTTCTTTGGTTCTGGCTTCAGGGCTAAAGCGTGTTTCTTTCACTGTCTCTGGTTCTAGGGCCAGGGTGGGTTTCTTTGGCTGGCCCTTTCCCCGTACAGTTCGCATGTACATGGTAGGCTTTTATGAAGGTTCTGGTGATCCAAACCCAGATTCTCTTTTTTGGGGGGGGGGGGGTGGTTTCAGGACAGAGTTTCTCTGTAGCTTTGAAGCTTGTCCTGGAACTAGCTCTTGTAGACCAGGCTGACCTCAAACTGACAGAGATCTACTTGCCTCTGCCTCCCAAGTACTGGGATTAAAAGCACGTGCCACCACGGCCCAGCTCAGGTTCTCACACTTATGTAACAAGTGCTCTCACCTACTAAACTATCTCCCTAGTCCCATATTAAGCTATTTTTAAACTATAATCATGTTTGTGATTATGTGTGGGTTGTGTTAGTTATGAAGCAGAAGTATCACCTGGCAATATGTGACAAACATTCTCTTTTCCCTGGGAATCTCTGAATGGTGTTGGATGCTGTTAGTGGTCCGCAGAGTGGGGTATCAGTTACCCTTTGCCTCCTTGGCCCTACCACTGTGGACCCAGAAAAGTCCTGTCTGTTCAAAGCGCATCCCTCTCTAGTGAGCAGCGCCATGACACAGCGTTCCTCTGTTTTTGGACTCAGGGTACATCCGTGAGGGCTTCCTGGCAGTGCAACATGCTGTAGACAAAGCCATCATGCATTACCATGCCAACGCCTCTGCGCACCAGCTGTTCCAGAAGCTCAGTGTGATCACCAAGAGGTTCCCGTTCCCACCGTACATCTCTGACCCATTCCTCATCGCCATCCAGTACCAGCTTCCTCTGCTGCTCATGCTGAGCTTCACCTACACCTCCCTCAGCATCATCCGGGCAGTGGTGCAGGAGAAAGAGAAAAAGCTGAAGGTAACCCTCTGTGTGCGACAGGTCGGTTTGAGAATGGCACAGCCTCAGTGGTGGGTCCAGAGACTCCTCGGAAGAGTTGGCCTGTCTCAAGGCTGCTGCTGTCTTGGATGCAGTGTAGACAGCCTATGGTCCAAGCTCTTTGAAATGCTGAGATTCTGAGTGTGGGCATGCCCTCTGCCTGTAATCTCCATGCAGCACTAAAGGAGGTTTTGTTTGTTTTGGGTTTTAGTTTGTTGTTTAGTTTGGCTTGGATGTTGTTGTTTTGTTTTGTTTTTGTTTTTGAGATAGAGTTTCTCTGGCTGTCCTGGAACTCACTCTGTAGTCCAGAATAGTTAGCCTCGAACTCACAGATCCACCTGCCTCTTCTTCCTGAGTGCTGGGATTAAAAGTGTGTATCACACCTCTTTTTCTTTCCCTTTCTTTTCTTTTAATTGTTACATTATCTTTATAACTTTTTGTTTTTTTATTTCAAAAAAGTTCCTTTCATATATTTTGATAATATTTCCCCATTACCTGACCTCTCAAAGGCCCTCCTGGTGTTTTTGTTTTGTTCTGTTTGGTTTTGCTTCTGTTGTCAGTGTTGAAATGGAGCTCAGGGTCTCAAGAATGTAAACACTCTACCACTGAGCCACACTGCCAGCCAAGAGCTCCGCCTCTGTGCAGCTTTAGATTCCCAGAACCCATAGACAGCATTGGTCAGTGGAGGAACTGCTCCCAACGGCTTGATAAACAGGCCAGAATGAAAGACCTGGTCAGAGCTGCTGCAGGTCACCTTATCCTATTCTTCACAGAGACAGGATGCACCTTTCCCTGAAAGGGTTTTGGGGTTCTCCTTCAAAGTGGGAAGGCAAATGAGCAGATGCCTAGGTCTTTTAATGTGTGTCCTTGGCCACAAACTGACAGCCAGGAGGCTGCTGTCAGTGTGGTCAGTGGCCTACAGAGTCTGCCAACCTTAGGAGGGAACTAGACTGGGTGACTCTGGATCTTAATGCCAGCTGACACTCCTGGCTTCTCAGAATCAGCTCAAGTAATAAGACGTGGGAGTGTCCCTTGGGAGTGTTGGGTGCCCCACGCATACAGGACATCCCTGCAGACTTGGGAGCATCCCTTGGGAGTGTGGGGTACTCCACGGCATACAAGGCATTCCTGCAGACTTGGGAGCATCCCTTGGGAGTATGGGGTGCCCCACGGCATACAGGACATCCATGCAGACTTGGGAGCGTCCCTTGGGAGTGTGGGGTGCTCCACGGCATACAAGGCATCCCTGAGGGACACAGAGAATTCACCAGCTTAACATCTATTGGGTACCTGTGTTACGCCTGAATGAGGCACAAGCAGAGAAGGGGGTTTCCTGGCATGACAGAACTTAGTGGGCCCAATGGTCTTAGCTCTTAAGACGCAGAACCGACCAGGCCACATTGCGTGGTGGGCTAGGGAGTAGGGCCGACCATCGTGACTTAGGAAAGGGCAGTTAATGCTGATTTGACTGTCGGGTAGCCTCCCAGATAGGTGTATGTAACATGATGAAATGCAGAAAAGAGCTAGATTCTCACCACAGGGATAAGAACTGTTGGACAGGAACTCGCATGACAGACCACAGCCTTCTCTTTCCCCTCACGTGTGCTGGGTAATTCCTGCCTATGCGTACAGCACAGGTGTGCTGGTCTGCCCCCTGGTCTATAGATGGCACTGTGTTTTTATAAGCAGACTGGCACACACGGGACTGTGGGGGAAAGCTGCTAGCGTGCAGACAGGAAAACAGCATGTGTGATGCCGTTTCCCGTCCACAGGAGTACATGCGCATGATGGGGCTCAGCAGCTGGCTGCACTGGAGTGCGTGGTTCCTCATGTTCTTCCTGTTCTTCCTCATCATGGTCTCTTTCATGACCCTGCTGTTCTGTGTCAAAGTAAGTGTGTCTTCTGTGAGGACTTTGGCAAGAAGAAGGGAGGGTGCAGAGATCCCAGCACTTAGGCCATAGAACATTCATGGCCACTGACCCCAGGGCAAGTCTTTCCCCTGCTGGGGAAATGAAGCAGGGCTTCCCACTGGCTGAGACAAGGATCCCTTCCCATCCAGCAGTGTCCCTGAGACCTGGAAATTCAGGCCCCTCCTTGTTCATTTCTGCCTTCCCTGCCTCCCCTGCCACTCTGGCTTCTACAGGTGAAGAAGGACATAGCAGTCCTTTCGAACAGTGACCCCTCCCTGGTGCTGCTCTTCCTGCTCTGTTTTGCAATCTCCTCCATCTCCTTCAGCTTCATGGTCAGTACCTTCTTCAGTAAAGGTGAGTCCCGTTGTTCCCCTTAGTCCAGAGGACTGAAGTCATGCAGGTCTAGGGAAACAAGGGGGGTTATGCATGGTCACAGGGTCAAAGGGATGTTTTTTGATGACCCCAAGGCTGAGTTTGAGAGGAAGACAGAAAGGAATACAATAAAGGCCATAGCAGAGCCTCCTAGAATCCCCCAGGAAGGAGCCAGGTGATGGGTAGAGGGCAGAGAGCATGCGCTGTGGGCCAGAGAAGAGCGGCAGGATATTACAGGGAAAGGTCGGCAGAAGGCAAGTGTAACTGTGTGGACTGCTGAGATACTAGCAATAAAAGCTTTGCCTGCCTGTGCACTCAAGTCGTTTCTGCTCTCTGAATTTTGTGTTCTACTTCTTGTCATTTTGTGCTTATGTTTTCTTCCTTGTTGACTTCTGTTGGACAGAGAGAGTTTACAATAGTTTTTGGCTGTCTGATGGCTTGTAATATACAAACTACATGTTTCCTAGTAATTATTCTTAGTTTTAAGCTTAAATGCTTTTAAATTTTTCCAAAAAATGAGTATGTCTCACTCAGGTCAGTGCATACCACACTGTGAATTCCCAAGCTCCCTATTAAGTCATTTTATTGTTTTTTAAAAAAATATGCAAAATAGTAGCTTGGTTGCTATTTTACATTCAAGCTGTTGCCAGCGTGTTTTATGTGTACACATTTTTGTGTGTGTGTTGCTGCAGGTGGGCAAAGAGCTGCATGAGGGGCTAATACTGCAGAAGATGCTGTAGTCCCCGTGCTGGGCTTTGGGTGGGGTGGGGTAGAAGTCTCCTAGCAAGTTTATGGCACCCATGCTCCTTCTCACCACAGCCAACATAGCAGCTGCCGTGGGTGGCTTCCTGTACTACTTCACCTTCATCCCCTACTTTTTCGTGGCTCCTCGGTACAACTGGATGACCCTGAGCCAAAAGCTTTTATCCTGTCTCCTATCTAATGTTGCCATGGCAATGGGAGCCCAGCTCATAGGAAAATTTGAAGCCAAAGGTAAGTCTTGTCCTCAAAAGTCGTCAAGTCATGCCTTCCTGATTCTTGCAGCTTCGTAAGAAGCATCTTGCCAAAAGTGTTTCTAACAGACTCACATCAGGTGGAAAGCAAACTGATTGGAGCACCTGAGCTAGGGTGTTTAGCTTGGCCCTAGACTAACGGGGAAGTAGCTCAGATAAGGCCACTAGGAGCCAAACACAACACGAGAGGTGTCGGTCACCCCACCTGCTCTGTCCAGTGACTAGATTTTACCAATTAGCTAGCAAATACTCTTAATCCGTCTCACCATTCCCTTTAGAAACTTTTTTACTACATTTTTTATTGTGAACATGTGTGCACACAGGAGCATCCGTGTGCCCCAGGGCATGTGTGGTGGTCAGCAGACAGCTGTTGGGAGTCATTCTCTCCCTTCACGCATGAGGCCCTTCTGGTCAGGTGTGTTTGTGTTGCTGTCACAGAGCACCCGAGGCTGGTAATGTGTGAAACAGTAGCTTAGTTCTACAGCTCTGGAGGCTGGGAGGTCTGGAGATGGGACACCTGTTTCCAAGACGGCATCATGGATGTAGTTTCTCACAGAGCAGGAGACCGAAAGGGAAAACCATTCCTTACGACCTTTTCATGACAGCTGTGGTCCTTTTGCTGTTTGTTTTGTTTTGTTTTGTGTTTGGGGGGGGGTTTTTTGTTTGTTCATTTTTGGTTTTTCATAATAGGGCTTTTCTTTAATCCCAGCACTCAGGAGGCAGAGGCAGGGGGACTCACAGAGATGAGTTTGAGGTCAGCCTGGTCTACAGATTGAGTTCCAGGACAGCCAATGCTGTTTCACAGAGAAATCCTGTCTCAAACAACAACAACAACAACAAAGACAGGGTTTCTCTGTGTAGTCCTGGCTATCCTGGAATTCTCTTTATAGACCAGGCTGGCCTCAAACTCACAGAGATTCGCATGCCTCTGCCTCCCAAGTGCTGGGGTTAAAGATGTGTGCCACCACCGCCCAGCAGCTTTGGTTGGTTTATGAGGGCTGTCTCTCACACTGTTAACTGGAAACAGATGAATATAAGGCCATGTATTCAAACCATACTGAGCGAGGCAATCCTAGCACTAAGGAAGTCACAGCCAGGAAACATAGTGAGTTCCATACATGGGCTAGAGTGAAATTCTGTCTTATAAAATAAAACAAGCAAACAAACATGAACAAAACAACTACCTTTTATGAGGGCCTGGGTTGTTGCCTAGCACTGAATAAAGCCAGACATGGCGGTGCTTTATGTCTGTAATCTCAGCACCAAGAAGGTGGGGGGGCAGGGAGTTCAAGAGGTCAAAACAGAACACCTGTGTTTCTATCATTAGTAGCCTATTGATAGAGTGTAGACGTTGTAAAATAGCAGAAACTTCCAAGGCCTCTAGTACTTTTTAAAAAGACTTTTTACAGAACCGGGCAGTGGTGGTGCACACCTTTAATCCCAGCACTCGGGAGACAGAGGCAGGTGGATCTCTGTGAGTTCGAGGCCAACCTTGAATTCTCTACAAGAGCTAGTGCCAGGACAGGCTCCAAAGCTACAGAGAAACCCTGTCTCAAAAAAAAAAAAAAAAAAAAAGCCTTTTACAGGGTAGAAGAAATGGCTCATTATTTAAGAGCACCTACTGAACTTTCAGAGGATCGGGGTTCACTCCCAACACCCACATCAGGCAGCTCACAACTGTCTAACTCCAGGTACAGGCGATCTGACATCTCTGACCTCCTCTGGCACCTGAACTCACACACATACCCACATGCAACCACAAACATCTACCTACACATAATTTAAAAATAATAAAAATATGGGACTGGAGAGATAGCTCAGAGATTAAGAGCACTGGTTGCTCTTTCAGAGGTCCTGAGTTCAATTCCCAGCAACCACATGGTGGTTCACAACCATCTGTAATGAGATAAGGTATTCTGGCATGCATGCAGGTAGAAGACTGTATACATAATAAATAAATAAAATGTTTTTTAAAAATAATAAAAATAAATCTTTTTAAAAATAAAAGACCATTTCCAAAGAGGAATCTCAATCTATGACACCTTTTTTTCAAAGTTGTGTAGTGACTTTTCTTTTTTAATTAATTAATTAATGTATTTATTTTACATCCTGACTACAGTTTCCCCTCCCTCCTCTCCTTCCAGTACTTCCCCACCACCTCCCCTCTGCTGCCCCCCCATCCACTTCTCCTCCTCAAATTCTATTCAGAAAAGGTCAGGCCTCTCATAATATCAACAAAACAGTAAGACTAAAAACCTCCCCTTGTATTAAGACTGGGCAAGGCAATCCAGTATGAGGGAAAAGGTCCCAAAAGCCAGTAAAAGAGTCAGAGACAGCACCTGTCCTCACTGTTAAGAGTCCCACAAGAACCAAGCTAAGCAACTGTCACATATATGCATGTGACTTTCCTTAAAACAGACAACTCTGTAGCTGTTTGAGGGTACATATTCACCAAAGCTGTGGAGCAAACATTTCATCCAGAGTCCTCTGGCCAACGGAAGACTGTCAGATGCTTAGGTCCAGGCTTTCAGGGCTATGACACTGATGTGCCTTGTAGCTCCTCACCGATGAGCTTTGTAGAGCTTCGTAATAGTCCTAAGTTTTCTCAGTTTTATTGGTTCACACCGACCTAACTCCAGATCTCATGTGTGCATATACATATGCATATATGTACGTGTATGTAAACATGTAACCAATGAAATGCAAAGTTTATGAGCTTTTAAAAATTTAAGAGATAGCCACGCGCCGGGAGATGGTGGCGCACGCCTTTAATCCCAGCACTCGGGAGGCAGAGGCAGGCGGATCTCTGTGAGTTCGAGACCAGCCTGGTCTACAGAGCTAGTTCCAGGACAGGCTCCAAAGCCACAGAGAAACCCTGTCTCGAAAAACAAAACAAGACAAAACAAAAAGAGAGAGAGAGAGAGAGAGAGAGAGAGAGAGAGAGAGAGAGAGAGAGAGAGAGCCACGCAATGGCGGCACACGCCTTTAATCCCAGCATTTCGGAAGCAGAGTTAGGCAAATCTCTGAGTTCAAGGCCAGCCTTGTCTACGTAGTGAGTTCCAGGACAGCCAGGGATATACAGAGAAACCCATACAGAGAAACCCTATCTTGAAAATCTAAAAAAATAAAAAATAAAAAATTTTAAAAACTAAAAATGTCATTGGAGAGAGTTGCCTGCATTTGCTTCTGTGCACTCCATGCATGCATTACCTGCAGAGGCCAGAAGAGGGAGTTGGATACCCTGGAACTGGAATTACAGAGGGTGGTTAGTCACCAAAATGGTGCTAGGCATCACAGCCAGGTCCTCTGGAAGAAGTACCATTGCTCTTCACTTCTGAGCCATCTCCTTAGCTCAAGTTCATGAGCTTTTGATAGTATTCCAATTTACTAATTTTTTTTTTAATTTACTGCTGTTTTCAAGACTTGAAGAAAAGTTGTCTAGGGGTGGGATGTGGCTCAGCTGGTTGTGTCTACCTAGGGTTCAGTCCCTAACTCAGCATAAGCTGAGTGTGGTGGTGCACACTTGTAATACCAGCACGTGGGAGGTGTAGCCAGGACAGTTATGGACTACTCCTGGTGCATCCTCAGGCACTGGCATCCAGTGGCGTGACCTCCTGAACCCTGTCAACGTGGATGACGATTTCTGCTTTGGACAAGTGCTGGGGATGCTGCTGCTGGACTCGGTGCTCTACGGCCTGGTGACCTGGTACGTGGAGGCTGTCTTCCCAGGCCAGTTTGGCGTGCCCCAGCCCTGGTACTTCTTCCTTATGGTGAGTGCTGATGCCCTGTTCTTTAAGCAGGTCACTTCTTTGGGGGACAGAGGTGTCCCCAGCACTCACACGGGACCCCTTCCAGTTCCAGTGCATGACACCTGTGTAGGGCTGGCTTAGGAAACTCTGACCTGTGCATTTCTGTCCTGAGGGCCCTTAAGATTTGTTCATAGGATAAAGACAGACTTCATTCCCCGGGGTCTGAGATGCAGGCTCACGGAGACTGATGCACACAGCCGCTGGTACCCCCAAATGCACTTCCTTGTTCATGAAAAATCTTTTAATTTTTAGAAATAATGCCAAGGATTAAGCCCAGGACCTCGCCTATAAACACCGAGGTCTGTCCCCAGCATAAAAACAAACAGCTTACTGTTCTGCCTATAAAACAATGAAGCTTTTTTGTGGGGATGGGAACCACACTTTTGAAATCGATAGCACTTCCCACTACTAGAAAGGAGCATTGCTGATGCCTGGTTGTGCCTGTGTAATGCTTTTCTCATTGACAAACACCTAATAAAAGCATCTTAAGGAAAGATGGTTTTATTCTGGCTACAGTTTGGGGCAGGGAGGATACATTCTATTGGGGGCTGGAGAGATGGCTCCGTGATTAAGAGCACTGCCTGCTCTTCCAAAGGTCCTGAAGTTCAGCGTTGCCAGGGCATAAATTTCATTCATTTTCAGGGAAGACATGGCAGCAGGAACACAATGTCACACAGCATCTCTATTCAGGAAGTAGATACACTGAATGCAGGTGCTCCGTTCATTTTCTCCTTTCCCTTCAGTCATGAATGAACGATGAAACCTATGTATAATGTGAGTCTTCACACTCGCTCACAGACACGCCCAGAAGGTTGTCTCCTGTGTGATTCTAGACGCTGTTGGGTTGACAGTACTAGCCTTCATGGCCTTTGCACACTTGTCCTGTGCACTTCCTGCCTGGCCCCTGCAGACAATTTGCTTGATAAAAGTGGACCATATTATCAACCAGACATGAAATGTGCTTTTTATTATTATATCAGTGTTTGTTATTTTGAATGCATATGCCTGAGCATCTATTTATAGTTCTTGGACTTTTATCTAGCCATATTTATAAGTGTATTGTTAGTTTAGAAGCATATTTCTACTTAAATATATAGCGTTTTTATGAGTGAACTTCATTTGTAGTGGTGATGTAGTATCCCCAGGTCAGGGTTCACCATCATACACTAGCAACTTCCAATTGATAATTAGGTCCAGTTCTTTTCAATTTTTTTTGATTCAGCAAGTATTTGTCAAGTGTCAGCTATTGTATTCCATCAAATGCAAGGTGACACCTGTTGTTAAAGAAGACAGACATTATTATTCTTTTTTTAGTTTTTCAAGACAGAGTTTTTCTCTGTAACTTTGGAGTCTATCCTAGAACTTACTCTGTAGACCAGGCTGGCCTGGAACTCACTGAGATCCTCTTGCCTCTGCCTCTGCCTCCTGAGTGCTGGTATTAAAGGTGTACACCACCACCACCCGGCCATAGCTATGGAGGGAAAATGCCATTGAATTATGGGCTTTTGTTATGTGAAATGCATTCTGACTTCACAGCCACTTTCCATACGAGATGTGTCTGGTACTGGTGCCATGTGCCCATCAGAACTGAGGACAGAACTAACAGATCCTCAGCAGACATCACATCCTCTCGTCCCCCACACCCTCTCCTCCATCCACAGGGAGCTTGTCACTGCTGAACAGAGAGGGCAGAGATACAACCCTGTTCCTCTTAGGCTCTGATAGTGCTCTGGACAGGGCTGCTCAGTGATGTCTCTTCATAACGATGACAAATTCCCTTTTCTTTGTTAAATCTGAATTTCACAACAATCCACTCATGTTCCCATTTACCAGATTAGGAAGGCGAGAAATAGAGCTTTCCCAGGTATAGTCAAATCAGAAAACATGCAGGGACTCAGTATAAAGATGGTGTTGTCTCCTCAGCCATACACCCTGTGAAGGTGCAGTGAAGTCACGTTGTTGCACATCTTTAGTGTGTCGATGGTAGTTACTTTGTTGCTCACGAATAAAATGAACTGACACTAATGACTCTGATACCCACATGCCTGTATCCCAGCCCTCCTACTGGTGCGGGAACCCAAGGACTGTCGTAGGGAAAGAAGAAGAAGTCAGTGACCCCGAAAAGGCTCTCAGAACTGAGTACTTTGAAGCCGAGCCGGAGGACCTGGTAGCTGGGATCAAAATCAAGCATCTGTCTAAGGTGAGGCCTTGAAGGCAGACTAGTCAGCTAGAGATGCTCTCTCCAGGCCTTGCTCCCTCCAGATATCCTAAACACCTAAAAGAGGAGGATGGGATCCCCGCAGCTGCTCTTGACCCACACTCCAGGGCACAGACCATCCCTCCACATCTGGCCCCAGGTTGGCTAGCGTTGTGGTGTTGTGGCATTGTGACCATCTAGTCCTGGGTGTTCCTTGCACTAGCTACTCAGTACACTGGCTACACTGGATGCACAGTAACAAGAAGGAAGTCATGTAGGGACTAACAGAGGCATGTAGCCTCACCCCACAATTCTGTTCTGGGTGTTGATTCATGGTGCCTGCTTCAGTGTCCTGAGATACTAGGCCTAAAGGGAAAGAAGACCCTGAGAGCCACAGGAAGTCAGGCAGCTCTCTGCCTTACCTACAGGTGTTCCAAGTGGGTAATAAGGACAAGGTGGGCATCAGAGACCTGAACCTGAACCTGTATGAAGGACAGATAACAGTCCTACTGGGCCACAACGGTGCTGGCAAGACCACGGCCATGTCCATGCTAACAGGTGAGAGGTAGCTCCATGTCCATCTATGACAGACAGGCCCTTCCCCTCTGGCTACTTCCCATCAGCCATGGATTTTTCTCATATGACTTTCATTCATACCCAATTAAGTTTTAGGCCCATGGCCCAGAGGAACATACGGGAGCCTTTAAATGGTTCCCACCCTGCTCTCAGCCTGTCTATGAATGCCCAAACCTGGTGGGGTCAGTAAAGACAAATACAACTAATTCTCCAGCCACACAGGACTGTAGAGAGCTGTGCTGGGCTAGGGATGTGCATCCGTGTGGAGTGATTGTCTGGCATTCATTGGGCCCTACGTTCAGTCCCAGTACCCATGGGAAAGAGTAAGGGATACGACGAGGAAAGGAGGGGACTCTTCATCCCCTGTGGAACTATTCCTCATCTTCCTGAAGCACTGAGGTGCTGGTCAGTAGCACACACCTTGACATTGAGAGTGGGGCTTGTGATAGTGCTGGAGCCAATATCTGCACACACTTGTGTGCATGAGAGTGAGTTTCTTGTTTATGACAGAGTGGTGTGCCCTGCAACAGAGCTTGAGGTCCCATCCTTCATCTCCCACTGCTCTGCCAGACAGAGCCTTACGTAGCTGAGTGCAGGGGTCCAGTACTGTCTTCTGGATACGGTCCTCAGTAGAATGGGGGCAGTGAGTTAGGCGAGTCAGGAGGTCATTGTACCTTGCACAAGTGAACAAGATTTTCACGATGAACTTGGGGGTCTTTGATTTGGCTGCAGGTCTCTTTCCCCCTACCAGTGGACATGCATATATTCATGGGTATGAAATTTCCCAAGACATGGCTCAAATCCGAAAGAGTTTGGGCCTGTGTCCCCAGCACGATGTCCTGTTTGACAACCTGACAGTTGCAGAACACCTCTACTTCTATGCACAGGTGAGTTAGGGTGACAGAGATGTGTGGGTGGTGACTGTTCTACCAAGGATTCTGAAGCTGTCCCAGTATTCCATTAGCCTCTCAGTAGTCTGTTCTGAGGAGCTAGTCCATGGAAGCAAGGGTGATCCTAGGCGGATGAGCAGAGTCCATTCGTGCCAAGGGACGATATCTCTTAGGCCAGAGAACTTGCTAGAGGGTTTGGCACCTTTATCGCCCCCTGACTCGTACTTCTCCTCCCTGCCTTCCAGTTGAAAGGCCTCTCTCTCCAGAAGTGTCCTGAAGAAGTCAAGCAGATGCTGCACATCCTTAGTCTGGAGGACAAGCGAGACTTGCGGTCCAAATTCCTGAGTGGGGGGATGAAGCGCAAGCTCTCCATTGGCATCGCCCTCATAGCCGGTTCCAAGGTATGGGGTAGGGGATCTGGCCTCTTGATGCAGCCAAGTCAGGCTCCTACACAAGGATAGCCCCAGGGGTGGTGAGGACATCTTACTAACCCCCAAGTCAAGCTGCAGAAGGCCACACAGCACAGCCATCCTGAGCCTGAGACATGGCTCTGTCACTGTCACAAGGCTTCACCTCTGCCCTCTAGGTATTGATGTTAGACGAGCCTACCTCGGGCATGGATGCAGTGTCCAGGAGGGCCATCTGGGACCTTCTTCAGCAGCAGAAGAGCGACCGCACCATCCTGCTGACCACTCACTTCATGGACGAAGCTGACCTGCTGGGGGACCGCATTGCCATCATGGCCAAGGGGGAGCTACAGTGCTGTGGGTCATCACTGTTCCTCAAGCAGAAATATGGTGAATAGCGGGCAGCAGGAGTCCTGGTCAGCTACTCCCTCCGAAGGGTCCTGATAGTGGCTGGGCAAGGCCATCTTCGAGCTTTCTCTTCTCTTGTCCATCAGTGGGGATAGTAGGGCAGAGTACTTGAGTGGTAGGGCTCTCTCTTGTTTAATCCACAAGGCAGGAATCCATGGGAGTACGCAGGAGTCCTGTGAGTGGTCATGGGTGCTTTCCTTCATGCTGCTCACACTAAGAGCAGTATTCATTGCACAGCCCAGTCCAGCAGGCTGAGTCACAAGTCAGGAGTCAGCCCCCTGCTGTGTGGAATGCGTGGCTTTCTGTTGTCACCTCCTGTTCTAACTGTGCCTGTCTCCTCCCCTCATACAAGAGTACTTCTCCCCACAAAATGCCCCAGCGTTCTCACCTCACCTCTCCCATGCCAAGCACCTACCCCTAGAGATTTCCCTAGTCTAGCCAGGGCTAGAGAGGGGCCCTGTCATCCTAAGTGGCCATGTGCCTAGTGAAGATACTGAGGTTCCTTTACCAAGAGTGTCTTCTGTCCATCTTTACTAGGGCCTCGAGAGTTTTGCTTGTTTCTTCTTGCCTATTTTCCCAATTAGCCAAGTCATTGATTGTCCTGGGTCCAACACCCTTGTCTCTGAAGGGAACAAGAAAAGGCCATTTCCTGAAAAGCATTATTGACAAGAAGCCAGACAGAGCTCAACGTGTGCAGTATAGCCTCACAGCTCCTGCTGTCTCTTCCTTGCAGCCATGATCTGCATGAATCCTACTATACAGATACACTGCATGCTTAGGTTATTGCTGGTGGTTTTATCCTCAGGAAGGCTCTGGCTCCCAGGAGGTGCACCTGGCTGCGTTCAGTGACCCAGCTTCCCTAGCACTTTTCCCCACATAGGTTGTGGGAGGTGACACTATATAGAAGAGCCCAAGATGAACCTGTTCTGGTCCAGTTGTACCCAGTGTGCAGATGTCTGATTTGAGCCACAGAGATGTGGCATGTCAGAAGCAGTGAAGCCACCAAAGGGCCTGACACTTGGTCCATATGTTCCAGGAGCTGGCTACCATATGACGCTGGTGAAAGAGCCACACTGCAATCCCGAAAGTATCTCTCAGCTAGTACACCACCATGTCCCCAATGCCATGCTGGAGAGCCATGCTGGGGCCGAGCTGTCCTTTATTCTTCCCAAGGAAAGCACACACAGGTACGTGTCCTAGAGAGTGCACAGATACAAACCTAGGAAGGTCCCATGGCTGGGAGGGCTCTGTGCCCTCTCTGGTATGACTGCTTGAGTATCTCGCATCCACTGGTCTGGTATTTCTTTTGTTGTTGTTTGATTGGTTGGTTGGTTGGTTTTTTTCTGAGACAAAGTTTTTCTGTAGCTTTGGAACCTGTCCTGGAACTCATTCTGTGGACCAGGCTGACCTCGAACTCACAGTGATCCCCGTGTCTGCCTCCCGAGTGCTAAGATTAAAGGCATGCACCACCACTGCCTGGCTTCATTAAATACTTTCTTATTTCAAGAGGGAAGAACCAGGGTACAGTCACAATCAAATTAAAACAAAATCAAATTTCACCTGTGTAAATAAGGCAGCGTCCAATGTCTGGGATCCACTCAAGGCCTCCTCAGAAGGACTTGGGCCTCTTCTCTGGCTCCACCCTCTGCAGCACACACAGATTGTCTCCTAGTGGCAGGCTGGCTCCACACCACTGTTGCTGCTGTCCTGGGTGTTCATCCCATGGTACTCGATGCAACTGGACTGCGCTTTCACCAACAGCTTCTCCTGAGCTCTCTTCAAGAATTCCCAGCCCTGCCGCACAGTGCCAAGCCTCAGCTGCTCTCCACGACCCCTAGTACCTTCAGTACCAGCTGGGAAACACTTGCACATGACCTATTGGCTGTCAGCATATGGTACAGCCGTGGCCGCCCCCAGACCACAGCTTCTGTGTGCTGACCCTAAGGAAACACTTCCCTGAAGATTCCCCTCGGTGATGCTGCTCTCTTCTTAATCACAGCTAATTTCTCAGCTCCAGCTGGCCAGCATCGATTATCCCAACAAAGAAAAGGTTTCACGTTAGTGGTTCTAGTATCTTATTGACCACTGCTAATTCTTCATTCCCAGTGACCAGAACCACAGATTCTTAACTCTGAGTCTTTAAGTGACTCAGACTTCCCTCTGGAACGTCACAAGACAAACGTCTTTCATCTGTATTTCTCCCAACATGTATAATGTGAACCCAATGGCTTTTCTAGCCCAAAGCTCCAGAGTCCTTTCCACAGTCCTCTGAAAAGCACATGGTCAGGTCTCTCTCATCAGTACCCCACAATCTTTGCACCAATGTCTGTCCCACTTAGGGTTACTCTTGCTGTGGTGAAATACCAGGGCCAAAAGCAATGTGGGGAGGAAAGGGTTTATTTGGCTTACACTTCCACACGGCTGTTCATCACTGAAGGAAGTCAGGACAGAAACACAAACAGGGTAGGATCCTGGAGGCAGGATCTGATGCAAAGGCCATAGAGAGCTGCTGCTTACTGGCTTGCTCATCACGGCTTGCTCAGCCTGCTTTCTTATAGAACCCAGGACCACCAGCTGGGGTGGCCCCACCCACAGTGTGGGCCCGTCACATCAATAACTAATTAAGGACATGACTTAAGTCTGTAGCCTGACCGTGTGGAGGCAGTCTCTGAGTTGAGGTCCCCTCCTCCTCTCAGATGTCTACAGCTTGTGTGAAGTTGGCATGAGACTAGCCAGCACAGCAGGAATGCATATATAAGGTGTTGAAGATGTTTTCTAGTGTTCATTTTTTGTAACGGGCTCAAACCCAGGGCCTTATGCACGCTAAACAACTGCTCTACCACTAAGTTACACTCCACAGCCCATGTAATGTGGGTTTAATTTTCATTTTTATACTGTGCGTGGATGATTTGCCTGTATGTATGTCTAAGCATTACATGTCCTCAGTGTCTACAAAGGTCAGAAGAGGGTGCTGGGAACTGAACCGAGGCAATAATTGCTCCTCTGAGTCATCTCTCCAGTCCAGTAATGTAGTTTTATGGTAACATGATGATCTATAACTCAAGTGTACCATAGTTTAAAAACTCCACTATTGCTGGGTGGTGGTGGTGCACGCCTTTAATCCCAGCACTCGGGAGGCAGAGGCAGGCAGATCTCTGTGAGTCTACAAAGGGGGTTCCAGGACGGGTTCCAAAGCTACAGAGAAACCCTGTCTCGAAAAACAAAAAAAACTCCACTATTCATCTTACATTTTCAAAACTTTTTAAATAAATATTCTCTTTTTTTCCCCAGACAAGGTTTCTCTGTAGTTTTAGTGCCTGTCCTGAAATTAGCTCTTGTAGACCAGGCGGGCCTCGAACTCACAGAGATCCGCCTGCCTCTGCCTCCCAGTACTGGGATCAGAGGTGTGCGCCACCACACCCAGCTGAAAGTGTGTATCTCTCTCATGGTTGCTTTGAGTAAGGATTTTTGTTTGTTTTCCAGTATTTATTGAATGGGTTGGGAAGCTCACAAATACTTGATCATCACCTCTCTCCATTCTGCCTGCCTGGTCAGAATCGTAGGGGTGTTGCCTCTGGGTAATATCTTTAACTCTGTTATGGATCACTTTTAGATCTTCATATCTATCTTCATATCCATCATATCAACCGTTTTGTTGCCACTTTCATATACATGGTTTTGTCCATCACATCTGTTCTGTGATTCTTCCAATGTTATTCTCAAAGCCCTCCAGTCAAGTAATAGTCATCAGAAGGGTTCGGTCTGTCTGTCTGTTTTTCAGGTTGTTTTGTGGTTCCTTTGTATTTTCAAGGCCCAAGTCCACGTGCTCAGAAGGGAAAATGTGTAGGATGACATAATAAATCTCTATCTCCTCTAATTTTTCCATGAACCTAAAACATCTCTATAAAAGTAAGAACTCTGTCAGTGTGGCTGTCGCTCAACAGTAGCACACTTGCACAACACCGGGAAGCTTCAGGTTCGACTGCCAAATATGTGTTTAATTCGTCTTTAAAGAAGGAAAAATAGCATTGCAAAAGACAGTTCTACCCTGTCTTTTCTGCATTGTATACAGAGGTGATTACTTAGAAAGTGTCCACAAAAGCCTTATCACTTTTTCAGGTTTGAAAGTCTGTTTGCTAAACTGGAGAAGAAGCAGAAGGAATTGGGCATCGCCAGCTTCGGAGCCTCTGTCACCACCATGGAGGAAGTCTTCCTTCGGTCAGTAAATGTGGGCTTCCATCTGTCCCAGACCCTCACTGGGGATGATTTTTTTAAGGATTCTGCCCTAGGCCACTGTCGAAGGTGGAGAGTGAGCAGGGCAGGGCAGGTGCTCCGAGGCAGAGTTCAGCTGTGAGTTTCACAGAGACCTGTATACTCACGCAGCCATGGCCTCAGTGTGAGGAGTGTGCCTGGCCTACCTCCCCACACACAGGTCAGCACGGCATGGGTCACCCCACAGGATTTGTGCTTCTATACTAAAAGGTGTAGGTTAGCTCTCGGATCCTTAGAGTGCCAGACCATTGCCATATTTCTCGGGAGTGTCTTGAATGCTTATCTGGCTGGTATAGTGCTAATAGCTAGAAGTAAAATATTTTTTATGAAATAACTTTTTCTTCTTGAGGAAACCATGGTCAGAGGAGGCAGCTTAAGTTGTAAGATCTTGTGCTGTGTGCTTAAAGGCATCTACCTCAGGGACTGTGGAGACCAACAGGAAAGGCCAGCATCGCTGCAGGGAGACCACTGGGTACAGCCAGGCACAGGAAGAGTTTGTGCTCCTTGAAACAGAACAGCCAGGGGAGAGAAGAAGGGAAATCAGAGCAGCATTTGGTGTGTCTTAGTTCAATAAAAGAGCCACATGCCCATCTGCTGTCCACTGTCCCCGAGGGCTCAATTCCAGGTACTCTCAGAAATCGTAAGCCTCTGCATCTCTGTGTTTCCTGGGATTTAGTGCCTGTCTAGTCCCCGGTCCACTTGGTCACCCCATCCAGCCTCTGACCTTGTCATTTTTCCTCAGCTCTAGGCCAGTGTTTTATCTGAGTAACTCATCTCAGGAGAAAACTGCCTTGGGTCTCTGCCAGCCTGCCCAGGACCCAGTTAGCAGTAAGGACGGGCAGCGCTGCAGACACTCAGATGGTGGGTGGCCTGTTCTTAATTCACCACTGCCCGGCGTGGTGGCTCTATCTTGAATCTGTGATTTGACTCTGAAAAATAAATGGGTCTGGGGCCAGGAATGACTCAGAACAAGCCTGTCAGCCTGAGTTTGGTCCCTGAGACCCATCTAATGATGGAAGAAGAGAAACAACTCCCCAGGGAAGTCCTCTGACTTCCACACATAGATGCATGTAACACACACACACACACACACACACACACACACACACACACACACACATTTTTTAAAAGGCCAGACATGGTGGTGCATACCTTTATTCCTAGCACTCAGGAAACAGAGGCAAATGGATCTCTGTGAATTCAAGGCCAGCCTGGTCTACAGAGTGAGTTCCAGGACAGCCAGGGCTACATAGTAATATCTTGTATCAAAATTTAAAAAAAAAAAAAGATAAATGGGCTTGGAAAAATCAGTGAAGGGGGGCCTGGGCAGGGGCCAGCAGAGCAAGGCCTGAAGAAAGCTTCAGAGAACAAAGCCAGGCAGAAATGAGCTTGTTTGGGGCAGACCAGAAAGCCCCTCAGCCATTCAGTGGCTCAGTTGTTCCTGATCAAGGACTGCTTGCAGGGTTGGGTTAGGCTGGGTTTTTGTAAGGCTGAGAATCCTACTAGGGACTGGCACATGGTAGGCTACTGCTGTGTACTCAGCTACCTCCCCAGCACTCTGTTTGTTTTTAAATGTCAGCTTTACTAAAATGATTTATATAACATTTAAAAGTCACCTTTGACATGGTTTTGATGTGCTCACAGTTTCTCAGTCTTCACTGTACTAAATTTAAGGTGTTTTAGACATTCTCTGCCCCGCTCCTCGAAACCCACATATTAGCACTCCCTGTCCTTCTCGCCGTCAATTGCAGCCATAGACCTGCTTTCTGTCATTAAAGCTTTGCCTGTCGTGAGCGCTTGACGTAAATTTGATCATACAGTGTATGGTATTTTGTCTCATCTTCAACTTAGCACACTTCCATTGAGGTCCATCCAGGCTGTAGCGTGTGTCTAAAGAGCATTGTTCCTTGTCATGGCTGAGCAGCCTTCATTTTGTTTATTCATTTCAGTTGAAGGACATGTGTGCTCTTTCTCTTTTTCCTTTTGCCGGTCGTGTTCCTGTGGACATTTTGTATACAAGTTTCTGTGTGGTTACATGCATTTATTCCTCTGGGATAAATGCCTGGAATGGATTGTACGGCCATCTTGTGGCTCCATTAGGGACACACATCGGTTGCTTAGAGGTTTTTGTCAGAAGCACTAAAATAGAAAAGAATGTCATTGGCTTCCTGGTCTTTTTGTTTGTCTGTTCGCATTCGCTCATTTTTTACTCATTAGTTTGTCCTGTCGTTTCTCTGCTCAGTGACTAGCTCGGGGCTGTAGGCAGGGACTGCCCATTAGCTTCATGGGTGCTCAGATCCAAATAATCACACAGAAACTGTATTAATTACAGCACTGTTTGGCCAATGACTTAGGCATATTTTTAGCTAGCTCTTACAACTTGAATTAACCCATTTCTATTAATCTGTGTATCTCCACGAGGCTGTTGTTTACCGGGTAAGGTTCTGGCTGGCATCTTTCTCCTTTGGCAGCTATACGGCTTCTTTCCACCTACTTTCTCTCTGTATCTCTCTTCGGATTTCCCATCTGGCTTTACTCTAATAAGCCACTGGTCAAAACAGCTTCTTTAATAAACAATGGTAATAAAACGTATTCATAGCATACCAAGGAGAATCCCATATCAAGGGACAGCATGGGCACTACCACACAAATGCCAGAAGAGAAAAAGAGCCAGAGAGGGCCCCGCCTCCGAGAACTTTCCAGTGTATGGGGAGACTGTCTACAGCTCATATCCCTAACCAGAGCCCAAAGAGAATGTGCCTGTGAACACCTTAACTCCAACCATGTGACAGTCTGGAGCAGGCTGCAGTGCAGCCCTGCCTCCCTCTACAGTTTCTATCCCTGCCATGCCCCCTGAAGCACAGTTCTCTGCCTCCCAGCTTAGCTTTGGCTGGCAGTGTCCCTGAACTTTGTCTTCTTGGGACCCAGAACAGGTTGCGTGATGAGCTGCCTTCATACATGGTGAAGCCATGGTGCTGTACATCTCTTCTCACCCTGGTCACAAATGCTGGGCAGTTCCCTTTGCAGTGGAACCCCAGCTGGTTGTCTCTTTCCCATAGGCATTACATCTGGCTACTCAGGGATGATGTTCTGGAGATACGTGTTGGCGGGTGGGTGAGCTCGTGAGCAAGTGAGCACACAAGCGGATGGTGTTGCTCTGCTTCAGAGCCTCTATAGAAAGTCCTCTTCCTGTGTCTGTTGCTGTGTGGAACAATAGCTTCATCCCCTACCAACGAGCTGAGTTATGACTGGTGACTGTATCTGGTGCAGGGTTGGTAAGCTGGTAGACACCAGCATGGACATTCAAGCCATCCAGCTCCCTGCGCTGCAGTACCAGCATGAGAGGCGGGCAAGTGACTGGGCTTTGGATAGTAACTTATGCGGAGTGATGGACCCAACGAACGGCATTGGAGCCCTCATAGAGGAAGAAGAAGCCATGCTCAAGCTCAACACAGGGGTGAGCACCTGGAGCTGGGACCACATAAGACCAGCTCGGGAAGGTTATCATTCTCTGAACTCCTTGTCTTAGGGGAAGCAGGGGGCAGTCCTCACGGCAGGGGTGCTCCACATGGCAGGGGCCCATCCGCACCACACAGCAGGGGGCTGTCCACACCACAGGGCAGGAGTGCTCCACATGGCAGGGGGCCCTCCACACCACACGGCAGGGGTGCTCCACATGGCAGGGGGCCATCCACACAGCAGGAGTTCCAGTAGAAAATTGAGGGCAGATTAGTAGGTCGACAGGGAGAGAAAACATTCAAATGGCTTTTTTATTTGATATTTTGTGAGAAAAGAGCTCACTCTGTTGTCCAAGTTGATAGGTCAGGGCTGGCCTCAAGCTGTGACCTTCCTGGCTCTGCTTCCAAAGGCTGGGATTGCAGATGTGCTCTGCCATTCCCAGCTGAATGTCTTGATGTTCTATCTTGGAAACTCACAGAAAACTGTGTTTGCTTTTAACATTGAAATTGCCCTGTTGGGGAAGCCTGCCTTATGCCAGGCTCTGTGCTGCCTGCCTTGATAGTCATCTAATGAGGTCAGAGAGTAGCAGGGAGGACTCTGCACCATTTTAGAGTCAGAATAGTCTAATCCAAGCCTGGTGGTGGCGCTCACCTTTAATCCCAGCACTTGGGAGGCAGAGGCAGGCAGATCTCTGTGAGTTCAAGGCCAGCTTAGTCTACAAGAGCTAATTTCAGGACAACTAGCAACTAGGACTGTTACACAGAGAAACCCTGAGAAACCCTGTCTCAAACAACAACAACAAAAGCCAGAATAGTCTAACCCAAATTCAAATAGCACAGCATGTGCAAAGCCTGGGCCTGGGAGCTTGACCCCTAGGTCCTGAGACTCTGCACTTAGGAGGCCAAGAAGGAAAGATGTAGCACAGGGAGTCCAGGGAGGCAGTGGGGGGAGTTGTCTGTCTGCTGTGTATAAACTAGACCATTGTCTTCTCTGTGGTGAAAGGCAGGGAGCCCCAGCCAGACCCTCAGTACTCTGAGAAAAGTATCTGCCAAGCTTCTGTGGCTACAGTGAGACCTTACAAACCCATGTGCCCTCTCAGTTTTTGAGCTCCACCCATGGCCCCACATCACCACAAATTGTTCTTGGTGTAGCTGCCTGGAACAGTGTCACCCAGAGTTCCACAGAGTGGTGTTACTTGGGTCAGCACTTGGCCTGCGGCCAGCCCCCATGTACAGCCATGTCATCTGCCTCCCTTCCGCCGCAGCTTGCCCTCCACTGCCAGCAGTTCTGGGCCATGTTCCTGAAGAAGGCTGTATACAGCTGGCGGGAATGGAAGATGGTAGCGGCTCAGGTCCTGGTCCCCCTGACCTGTATCACCCTGGCCCTCCTGGCTATCAACTACACCTCAGAGATCCTCGATGACCCTCTCCTGAAGCTGGGCCTGGACGAGTATGGCAGAACAGTTGTGCCCTTCTCAGCCTCCAGCAGCTCTCAGCTGCACCAGCAGTTGTCTGAGCATCTAAAAGACATGCTGCAGGCTGAGGGCCAGGAGCACCGTGAAGTGCTGGGTAAGGAGCAGCCAGGGCATGGGGTCCAGTGGTGCTGACAGCGTCGGTGCTGTCACTAGGTGGGTCATCCTTCACTGTCCTTTGCCTTCATAACAGCAGCTTCCCTGGAATGGCCCACCTCTATCATGACAGTCAAACTTGCCTTTGAGCATCACCAGATGTCCCATAGGCTAGAGCTTATGCTCCTAAATCAGGGGAAATATCCCTGGGATACCAGAGGCATAGGCACAGTTAGGACTTGGACACACCCAGTCTTCAGAACCTTTTATAAATAAAATGCAGGGGCTGGTGAAATGGCTCAGCAGTTAAGAGTACTGGCTGCTCTTCCAAAGGACATGGGTTCAATTCCTAGCACCCACATGGCAGCTCACACCTGTCTAACTCCAGTTCCAGGGGATCTAACACCCACACCCAGATATTCATGCAGCAAAACAAAATACAGAAGTCCAGTGATCTCTATATAACTCATCTTTGTGTGTAGTCTAGGCTGCTGATAGTGCGCCATCATGAGCTGTGGTACTTTCATCCAGCACCTTGGAATTTAAAACTGCCATGAGTCTCTGGTAGCTATAGCTCAGGATTGCCCCAGGCTTAGAACTGCCATGTTCTAGTTAAATGAAGTGTCTTGGCAGGTTTTTTCCTTTTATTGCTCCCTCCCACGTTGTGACGAGCAACCCTGAGGTTCTGTGGACTGATTGATGACAAAATGACAGTTTCTTCTTGGTAAATGGGTGATCATATCAGCAGTTGAGAAGCTGTCAGCACCATGGTGGGCACTGCTGGCCCAGTGGAGGTCCCAGGAGAGCCCAGTGTTCCATCTCCCCTGTGCCTGTACTGAATCCCTGAGAGTCACTGGGATGATGGTGGTGCTCCTATTTGTCCCACCTGGTATCTGACACTGCATTATTCCACAGGTGACCTGGAGGAGTTCCTGGTTTTCAGGGCCTCAGTGGAAGGGGGCGGCTTTAATGAGCGGTGTCTGGTAGCAACATCCTTCAAAGATGTAGGAGAGCAGACAGTGGTCACTGCCTTGTTCAACAACCAGGCATACCACTCCCCAGCCACCGCCCTGGCCATCGTGGACAATCTTCTGTTCAAGCTGCTGTGTGGCCCTCGGGCCTCCATTGAGATCTCCAACTATCCCCAGCCTCGGAGCACCCTGCAAGTTGCCAAGGACCAGTTCAATGAGTACGTGTACAGCTTACACACCCACTCAGGTGTCCTGCACCAGGACCACCATTGGGACAGTGTCAGAAATAAGGCTTTGTGTATCGCAGAATGATGAATTATTTACCTTAGATGCTGCTGCCTTTTGGCCAAGGTCAGTCACTTCAGCTGCTCAGCAAATCAGATTCCAAACACCCGTCCCACAGGGTCTGTGGTCGGAGGATCCAGTGGGCATCTTTGCCTTCTTTTCCTGGCAGGGTCCTTGGTAGTAGAGCAGGTGCTTAGAGCTCTAGAAAGGCAATTGCACCCATTAGACTACAGACTGGAAGGCCCAAAGAACAGGCTAAGGGGCACAGAATCTTAGAAGATACCAGTTGTTCATGAACATGTCACCCACAACATGCAATATGCAGTCAGCCACTTGTTTGTGTAGCCAGAGGTGGCCCCTTCACCTCAGTGTCATTTTGTTAAATTGTCCCCAAAACAGTCCTGAACTCTTCAACAGTCACTCATCCTTCTATACGGAAGTTTCTGTCCTGCCCAGTCCTCTAGCCGTTCAGTCCCAAAGAAACACACAGAGGCCAGTATTTATTATAAACTATTTGGCCTATTGCTCAGGCTTGTTATTAATTAGCTCTTACAACCTAAATAATCCATAATTCTTATTTATGTTTAGCCAATTGGTTTAGTATCTTTTCTCAATGAGGCATTCTCATCTTCCTCTATATCTGGCTTGTGACTGCATCTCTGACTTTCCTCTTCCCAGGATTCTCCTAGTCTGGTTGCCCCACTTATACTTCCTGCCTGGCTACTGGCCAATCAGCATTTTATTAAACCAATACGAGTGACAAATCTTTACAAAATACAAGAGCATCATCCCACAGCACATCCTCCCAACTTTCAGCCCTCAAAACTGCTCACCTCCTGTTTCTGTAGGGCTTCCTGTTGTGGTTATTTCTTAGAAATAGAGTTGTATATAGCACATGCCCTATCACATGGTGTTTCTAGGGTTTGTCCGTGTTCAGGCCTTACCGCTCCTCCTTCCCCTGCCTTCCCTTGCTTTTCCTTGCCAGACACTTTTTGGGTTGGGGGGGGTTGTTTTGCTTTTCAAAGACTAGGTTTTGCTATGTGTTGTCCCTGACTGTCCTGGAACTCACTCTGTAGACCAGGCTGACCTTGAATTCATAGAGACCCACCTGCCTCCGCCTCCCAAATGCTGGGATTAAAGGCTAGTCCACCATGCCTGGCTGGTTTTTGTTCTTTTGAGACAGGTTGTCACTGTGTAGTTCTGCTGTCTTGAAGCTCCTTATGTAAACCACACTGGCCTCAAACTCACAGAGACCCACTGCTCCTGCCTCCACAGTGCTGGGATTAAAGTGTGCGCCACCACACCCAGCTTAATCCCACTCTTTATCCCAATACCATTTATTGAGATGATCTGAAGATTTTTAAACCCTGAAGTAAAGCTTTCAGAGCCCATTTCTAGAAGGTGTTGCTGTTGACTCGCTGTAGGACACAGAATGTAACAGGAAGGGGGATTTGTTTACCATAGGGACCCAGGAACTTAGCAGCGAGGTCTAGCTAGAGGTGATCAGAGAGCAGGGCAGGAGCTCCCAGCAGTCACAGTGACAAACAGAAGGGCAAGTGTCCCTGAGTGCACAGAGACAATGGTTTAGAAACTCACAGAGAAGCCTAGGGGAGAACTCTGTCCTTGTTCATTCGGGACCCCAGGAGGAGCCGTCCTCAGGGAGTGGGTTCTTCCTTATCCCCCTTGAGTGGTGTGGCTACTGTCCATGGGTTTGGATGGTAATGACCAAGGGCTCAATCTTTCCCACTACCCAGACGCACTGTGCTCTGCCCTCCCCAGGGGCCGGAAGGGATTTGACATCGCCCTCAATTTGCTCATTGCCATGGCGTTTCTGGCCAGCACGTTTTCTGTCCTGGCAGTCAGTGAGAGGGCTGTCCAGGCCAAGCACATTCAGTTTGTGAGCGGTGTCCGTGTGGCTACTTTCTGGCTTTCCGCTCTGCTGTGGGACCTCATCTCCTTCCTCATTCCCAGTCTGCTACTTCTGGTGAGTGCTGGGTGTGCCAGACCCTGCACACCCAGGGAACACGCCTGGGGTCCCCTTGCAAAACCTGGACCAGCAGGGAAGCCCATGTAGCAGCTGAATTCTGATCAAGAGGACAGTTGGAAACACCAAGTGTTTTCTTCCCTGCCCTTTGATAGGCAGGGCCTGGGCTAGCTGTCCTGGTTCTAGCTCCTGTAACCAGGAAACTGCTTCTTAGAGAGGTCCCAGGGTGGAGCCATTAGGTCTGGCATAGCGCTGAGTGCTCCCAGGGTTCCCTTTCCCTGGCGCTGGTTCCTGCTGGCCTGTTCACTGACCGCCCTCATCTGTGCTGCCGCAGGTGGTGTTCCAAGCCTTCGATGTGCAAGCCTTCACGAGGGACGGCCACCTGGCGGACTTGCTGCTGCTGCTGCTGCTGTACGGCTGGGCCATCATCCCCCTCATGTACCTCATGAGCTTCTTCTTCTCGGCTGCGTCCACGGCTTATACCAGGCTGACCATATTCAACATCCTGTCCGGCATTGCCCCCTTCATCATAGTCACTGTCATGCGCATCCCAGGTGGGAGACTGGGCACCACCCTAGACCACTGGCCGCCCACTTAACCGTTTTGTACAAGAGACCCCCTTTGCCAGTCACAGTAGTGGGAGGGTGTCTGGAACATTCTCCCTGGGTCCACACAAGGAGGAACCACTTTCTGGGCTAAATCCTGTCTGCCAATGCCTGATACAGGGATACCTGAGACCTGACCTTCCTTCCCTGGATCTGTCCTCAGGCAGATGTGTCGTGTCTGCCACCACTAACTTGTCTGTACCTCTTCACAGCTGTAAAATTAGAAGAACTTTCCAGAACCTTGGATCATGTGTTCTTGGTGCTGCCAAACCACTGCCTAGGCATGGCGGTCAGCAGCTTCTATGAGAACTATGAGACTCAGCGGTACTGCACGTCCTCACGGTTCGCTGCCCGCTACTGCAAGAAGTACAGTGAGTGTCCAGGTGGACCCTGCTTCCACTCTCACCCTTGGCTGCCAGAGCTTCTCCAGGCCTTACCCAGTGAAGGGGCTTACACCAGCCCTTTTTCTGCTCCCTATAACAGTATCAGAGGCTGAGCAAGTTATAGATTGAAGAGGTTCTTAACTGTCCTGCAAGGACAAAGGCCCACTTCTGGCAGTGGTCATCTTGCTCACAGAATCCCAAAGATGCACAAGGCTTCATATGACCCAAGATGAGTTGACGCTTGTGTGTCCTCTGGCCTCTTAGAAAGCCATCAGGGTTCAGTTATGCGGCTTTGCCCTGTAGAATGTATTTAATGCTAGTCACCTTTCAGAGGCCCCACCTTTGAACGCCATGGGTGAATTAAATGTCCACCTCTTAAGAAAAATTATATGTATGGGTGTGTTGCCTGTGTACCACTTTCATGCTTGGTACCCAGAGGCCAGAAAAGTTGGTTGTGAGCCACCCCGTCAGTACTGGGAATTAAGCCTGGAATTGAAACCTCCTCAGGAAGAGAAGCCGGTGCTCTTAACTGCCATGCCATCTCTCCAGCCCCAGATTTCCCCCTTTTTAATATCTCACACTAGGGATTGCATGCCAGCTCCATAGCAGGGCTCATAGTCTGAGTCATCACCTGCCCCTTACTTCTGCCTTCATGTTCTGGGCCTGCGTCTGGACATCTGATTTTCCCGTATGCCCTGGTGCCCTGCAGCTTCTAGAACGGAATGCCACAACCCATGGGATAATCAACAGACACGTGATATCCATAGTTAAAGTGTGGGCAATGCCATGCCCCCTCCAGAGGCTCAGGGAATGATCCATCCTGCCTCTGTCTATGTGCAGCCTCCTCCCCTGTGTCTCTGGGTCTCACATGTCCCTGGATCTGGGGCCAACTTCAAATCCAGTATCTCCCCTTAGGTCTTTAACTAGTAACATCTTCAGTGTCTCATTTCTTAACAAAGTCACATTCACAGATCAAGAGTTTGATGTGTTTGGGGATGGGGGCTTTTTACACTTGGAATGGTCTCCTTTGTTCATCAGCAGGAAGCGTAGCAGTCCTTCTACAGAGCCGTGCACACCCTCAGACAAAAGTGCAGTCTCTTCCCTAAGACAGGGCCTGCTAATCCCTTCTCTAAACTTGAATGCCTAGAGAGGAGTGTGATTAAGGCATCTTCACATCTCTGCCCAGTCTCAACTCAAAGTAGTGTGAGTAGCAGACAAGGCTGTAATTCGTGGTTGGTCCCTGATCACAAGTACACAAGGGACACCTCACATGGCAAGATTCTTCCAGAGCTGGAAAGTACCTAGACTCTTGTTTGACATTGACAGACACAAGGCATGCCCTCAAGAATTGGAGCCTTGGTGGAGGGTCTGGGCATTTGTGTGGCCTACAGAGCTAAGGGCAGCGCTGGGGTCTGGGAAGGAATAGAGTATACGGCAGATGGCCCAGCCTTGCTCCTTGCCCTGCACAGACATCCAGTACCAGGAGAACTTCTATGCCTGGAGCACCCCAGGGGTTGGCAAGTTTGTGACCTCCATGGCTGCCTCAGGGTGCATCTACCTCACCCTGCTCTTTCTCATTGAGACCAACCTGCTGTGGAGACTGAGGACCTTCATCTGTGCCTTCCAGAGGAGATGGACTCTGGTGAGTGGCTCCTGGAAGCCTAGGAATGCGGCTAGATGCTCCCCACATCTGCCATGGGCCCTAGACAGTGAAGGACCACCTCCCTATGAGCACAGCCTTGAAGCTCATGCACCTTGGGTGTCCTCCCATTTGTCACACCGCCTCACGGCCAGCACATAGCGATGGCTCCCTAGCATGGCCAGGTCCAAGTACACTGTCACAGCATGGGAGGGCTCTCAGCACTCATTATTTTCAAGGTCTGCCACAAAGCCTGAGAGCTTTGTGTACCTGAGCCACCTGAGGTGCCCAGCTGGACAGGAGTCTGCTCACTTGTTAACACATTCCACACACACATATTTTCCAAGTCAGGGTTTCTCTGTGTAGCCCTGGCTGTCCTGGAACTCACTCTGTAGACTAAGCTGGTTTTGAACTCAGAGATCCAACTGCCTCTGCCTCCCAAGTGATGGGATTAAAGGTTTTTGCCACAACCGTCTGGCCATATATTCATTTTTAATTAAGTAATCAATGTGGAGGTCAGAAAACAACTTGTGGGAATTGATTCTGTCCTTCTGCCATGTGACTCCCAGGATAGAACTTGGTTGTCAGTCTTGACAGCAGATGCCTTTACTCACAGAGCCGTCTTACTGACCCCACACATTTGGTCTTTCAGATATACTCTGTGGTTTCATTTCCTCCCTCACAAACAAGAGCAAAGTCTGTCAGGATCACATTGGATATCCAGATCAGTCCGAGTTGCACTGACTTCTCAGAAACATTACAGCTCCTGAATGAGTTCCCGCGCATGTGATAGTCTTCCCTGACACGGGCAGTGCTGGGGACCTGTAGTCTCAGCTCGTCAGGAAGACAGCAGGCAGATGTCATGTGCTCAGTAGTTGAGGCTACCCTAAGCAACACAGCAGCACACATGAGCTCGCAAGAGTTTCAGAGGGTAAAAGTGCTTGCTGGATAAGCCTGTCAGCCTGAATTAGAACCCTGGAACTCATACTGGAAGACAGAACCAAGTCCTTTGGGCTGGAAAAACAGCAGTTAAGAACGCATACTTCTCTTTCAACAAAGTTCAGTTTCTGTTAGATGTCTAACAACCAGCTACCCATAACTCTAGCTCTAGGGATCTCTGATACCACAGACCTCTGTGGGTTTTTCACTCACGTATGTGCGCACACACAATTAGAATTTTAATTTTAAAAAAGAAAAGAGGGTTGGAAGATGACTCAGTGGTAATGAATACTTGCTGCTCTTCCAAAGGACCCAGCTTCAATTACCAGCACCTAAATGGTGGCTCCCAACTGAATGTAATAACATCCTTTCCAAGGGATCCATCGCCCTCTTCTGGCCTTTGCAGGCACTGCACTCATGTAGCACATGGATATACATGCAAGCTAAACAAAACCCATACATATAAAATACACTCTTAAAAATTTTTTTAAAGAATAAATAAAAATTGTTTTAAAAACAGGATTTTGTGCCCTCTTCTGGCCTCCACAGACACTAGGCATGTATGTGATGTATGCACACGCACACATACACACACACACACACACAAACAACCATACACATAATAAAAATAAATGAAAAACAAAAACAAAAAAACCCTCTTCCTTCACATCCCTGATTATGGTTTTCTTCTTGAGTTCCACGAGGTTCTTGTGTTAGATCTGATGCCCAGATACTAAGTTCAGCCGCTAAGACCCCTGCCTCTTATGAGAGAGTGTATACGTGAGGGGTAGGGGTGAGAAGTCCCATCATTTCCCATATCGACACTTGCACCTGTCCTTCCTTCTGTGGGACTGGAATTAACATTTGTAGTCTTCTTCATCTTAAATAATCAGGCAGAATTGCAGAACCGGACATCAGTGCTTCCTGAGGACCAAGACGTAGCTGACGAGAGGAGCCGAGTCCTGGTCCCCAGCTTGGACTCCATGCTTGACACACCGCTCATCATCAATGAACTCTCCAAGGTAACAGAAGCTCCACCCTCCACCCGCTGGCCCTAGTGCCCCAGAAGCTAGTGGGGCCTAGAGGCCAGAGGTCCTGCATTATCTTCAGCCTCCTCACCTGGGCTTTCTCGTCGGCATCGTACAGGTGTATGACCAGAGAGCACCACTCCTTGCTGTGGACAGGATCTCCCTTGCCGTCCAGAAAGGGGAATGCTTTGGCCTGTTGGGTTTCAATGGAGCTGGAAAAACCACAACATTCAAAATGCTGACTGGGGAGGAGACCATCACCTCAGGGGATGCCTTTGTTGGAGGCTACAGCATCAGTTCTGATATCAGCAAGGTAGGTGCAGCAGGGAGGCCCTACTGGTCTGGGCAGTCAAGGGCCACCCGAGAGGCCAGGTAGACTTGTCTCTGGCTCACTGTGGGCATAGCAATGTTTGTGGACATCAGGGCAAGGCCGTGACAGGACCAGGTTTAAACAGGTGGTAGAAAGGAAAGAAATGCTGGTCAAGGAAACATAACTTAGCTGTTTGTGTTGACCCAACAATGTTCTGTGTCTAGAACTCACAAATATGGTTTGAAGGTCTAGAGAGACAAAAGGAGGAATGAGAAGGCCCAGGGCCCATTCAGGTTCCCACACACTGGGCTGAAACCACAGTGGGAATGGACCAAGTATAGCCTGCCTGTCCCCTAATGCTTAGGGACAGTATAGAAGGCCCCTGTGTGCCAAGCAGAGCTGAAAAGGGGAAGAGGGATGACTATAGGTCTGGCAGTGGAGTCCTCTTTCTGAGTGGGTAGCAGGGGGTGCTAGACTGGAGGACGGGCCACCCCAGGCTTCTGAGATAGGAATACGGTGTCCAGGTGTGTGAGCAGAGCAATGAGGTATGGGTACTGTGTGCAGGTGAGCACAGCAATGCGGTATGGATACTGTGTGCAGGTGTGTGAGCAGAGCAAGCAACCAGGTGTGACAGGAATTTGCAGGCGCATCACTCAAGGAATGAACAAACTCAGATTTCTTCTTTTTCTTGATTTATGTGTATAAGTGTTTTACCTGTATGTATGTATGCTATGCATTCCTGACCCATGGAGGTCAGGAGAGGATGTTGGACACTCTGAAATTGAAGTTACAGATAATTACAAACCACCATGTGGGTACTCGGAACCAAACCTGGTCCTCTAGAAGAGCAACAAGTGCGCTTGACCACTGGGCTATCTCTCTAGCCTCCAAACACAGATTTAAGATTTTTCAGTTGTCTGGTCAAGATTATAAAAATAACTTAATACGTTTAAGGATTAGAAATGAGTGGACATGGTAGTACACACCTTTTAATTCCATCAGTCAGGAAGCAGAGGAATGTATATCTCTGTGAGTGTGAGACCAGCCTGGTCTACCAAGTGAGTTTCAGTACAGTCAGAGCAACATAGAGAGACAATCTCAAAAAGAAATTATTATTATTATTAGTCTTTCAAGACAGGATTTCTCCTCTGTGTAATAGCCCTAGCTCTCCTGGAACTCGCTCTGTAGACCAGGCTGGCCCTGAATTCACAGAGATTCACTTGCTTCTGCCTCCAGAGTGCTGGGATTAAAGGCGTGCGCCACCACGGCCCAGCTACAAATATTTTAAAAGGATTAGAAATGTATGCACAAGTAATAATGCTTGCAGTGATCCCCACCTGATCTGAAAATCAAGGGAAGGGTGACAGGTGCTGAACACATTTAACCTGAGGTCCAGAAGGAAAGTAGTGTGGGGGAGCTAAGCCAAAAGCTAAGAATTGTTCCAAATCAATTAAAACAGACTCTAGATCTCCAAGGAGACTCTCTGGAATCTTCAGAACCTAGGCACAGCCGCCCCAGCCAGCTCACACTCACACCAGAGCCGGGAGAGACCCACTGCATCCTGACTTTGCTGAGCCACCGCTAAGGAGAGATGCACACTCTAAGAGCATTACCAGTGCATACCTCTTTAGAAGGAAGGCCCTGGACCATCAGAGTTTGTTACTACCTGAGGGGTGAGGGAGGGTGTGAGCACATTTCCCCAAAAGGTTTTATGTCACCACATGTATGAAAATGAAACCATCCTTTTTCATATTATTTTGTTTTTGTTGTTTAGTTTTAGTTTTTAAATATGTAATTATTTGTTTATTTATTTACTTTGGTTTTTCGAGACAGGGATTCTCTATGTAACAGCTCTGGCTGTTCTGGAACTCACTCTGTAGACCAGCCTGGCCTCAAACTCACAGAGGTCCACCAGCCTCTGATTCTGAGTGCTGAGATTAAAGGCATGCATCATCAAGCCCAACTAATGAAACCATTCTTATGCTAACTGCCCGCATAGTTATCTGTCGTGGATCAGGCTCCCAGCTAGACCACTTGCTGGCCTGTTTCCTTTGGGAGCCTCCCTAAGATAGCCAAGTTCTTCCTGTGTCCCCACTTGGGTGCTGCTCAGAGAGCTTCAGCTGTGGTCAGGACCTAATTACTCTCTTTAGACAACCCTGGGCAGACTCACTGGGGTGTAGACGGAGGGCAGGTTTAGAAGCAGGCACCATGGCCAGGGTCGCTATGGTCCTCTGAGAGGAGATGGCGTCTCAGACCCATTCCCTCCCACATCCTCATTTAGGTACGGCAGCGAATGGGCTACTGTCCCCAGTTTGATGCACTGCTAGATCATATGACTGGCAAGGAGATGCTGGTCATGTATGCGCGGCTCCGAGGCATCCCAGAGCGCCTCATCGGTGCCTGTGTGGAGAACACTCTGCGGGGTCTGCTCCTGGAGCCACACGCCAACAAACTAGTCAAGACCTATAGGTACGACCTATGTTTAGCCTCTCTTATGAAATCAGCCCTGGCTCTTTGCAGAGTAGCTTAGGGTCTCCTTATCTCAGAGCTCAAGTCAGTGGCTCCAGAGTAACTACTCATCTCCCCCGTCGCCTGGGATGCTCTAGTCACTGGGTGTGGCCGTGGCAATTCACGTGCATTATTATCTTGCCACCCACCCACCTGTCACCCATCCATCTCCAGTGGTGGCAACAAGCGCAAACTGAGCACCGGCATCGCCCTCATTGGAGAGCCTGCGGTCATCTTCCTGGATGAGCCGTCCACCGGCATGGACCCTGTGGCCCGGCGCCTACTCTGGGACACTGTGGCCCGGGCCCGTGAGTCTGGCAAGGCCATTGTCATCACCTCCCACAGGTAGAGTTGCATCTGTGGGTCGGGGCAGAGCCAGAACAGGTGGCTGGGGTGGGCCCAGGTGAACAGAAGATACGGCAGCAGCCGCGCAGGCTCTGCCAGGACATTTCCCAGGCTCTGCATGTGGGTACACTCAGCGTGGGGAATCGGGAATGGTCTGATCTGGGCACAGATGCCCTCCTGTCTGCACAAGCCTTTGACATCCAGGGTGGGCATCGGCCTCCTCCAGCGCTGTCTCAGGCTCTCTCCCTTTTCCCAGTATGGAGGAGTGTGAAGCCTTATGTACCCGGCTGGCCATCATGGTTCAGGGCCAGTTCAAGTGCCTGGGCAGCCCACAACACCTCAAGAGCAAGTTTGGCAGCGGCTACTCCCTGCAGGCCAAAGTGCGGAGTGAAGGGAAGCACGAAGTCCTGGAGGAGTTCAAGGCGTTTGTGGATCTGACCTTCCCAGGTGTGTGATGGTTAGTGCTAGATGGGGCCTAGGCCCCTGCCTGACCCCTTGACAAGGACCCTGGTCCATCCTCTCCGGCCCGACCCACATGGTCTCTTCTGTGCAGGCAGCATCCTAGAAGATGAGCACCAAGACATGGTTCATTACCATCTGCCTGGCTGTGACCTCAGCTGGGCCAAGGTGAGTGCAGGTCCCAGAATCCCATAGGGGCCTGGGACTAAGAAGGACCTTCCAGGACTCCCTGTTCTGTGGCAATTCCAGGATCTTTTCCAGGTAGAGTCAGGGTCTAGTTTTCATTTCCCACTCACCTTTATATCTATTGGGTTTGAGTTTTTATATGTAAAATATTTGAGGTGGAAAAAGAGAATGTTTGCATGAAAGGAGGCTGGCCCCAGACACGGGACACATTTTGCTCAAGATCAAGCTCTGAGATCAAAGCCAAGCCTTGGCTTCCCCCTTGCTACCCCTGCACAACCAGCGTCTTCCGAGTGACTTCGGGAGGGACTCTAGGACAACACTGGGGGATGGTAGGGTACGGTGCAACCTCCCATCATCAGAGGACTTACTATCTGGGTCCTGGGCTCTCTTACATGTAGCTTTTCTGTTTCAAAAGGTATTTGGTATCCTGGAGAAAGCCAAGGAGAAGTATGGTGTGGACGATTACTCTCTGAGCCAGATCTCACTGGAGCAGGTCTTTCTGAGCTTTGCCCACCTGCAGCCTCCCACCACTGAGGATGGGCAATGAGGAGCTCCCTGCTGCCTTCAGAGCACCGGGCATGGAAGGCCGAGTCGGTGCCCAGCCGTGCACCCTCTCCCTCCTAGTTTCCCTTTTCTTTCACTTTAATCACTCTTTCTATGATGGACATGAAAAACAATCAAGGTGATATGCACAAAATGGAACAAGTGTGTCTGTCAGGACCTGCAGGCAGGAATCAGCATGCAGATTTCCACCCCTGAGGGCAGACTCTGGAACCGCAGCCCCAGAGCCCCTTCCACAGCGCACGCAGATAGGCAGGGCTTCCAGGTGCTGCTGCAGCGAAGCTGGGGCCTGAAAATCTTTGCAGGGCTGTCCAGAGAGCCCCCAGGGACCTGTCCATGTTTACAGATGACAGTAAGCTCCCCAGGGAGGAAAAAGAAAGCCAGCAGGTCTGAGCAGCTACAAGGACTTCCAGGCTGCCATGAATGAGCAGAAGCATTGCAGATACCTTCATGAAGGGAAGATGTTGGGTATGACAGGTGCTGAGACCTTGGCTCCCAGTGCAGCTGTGAGGCATCCTTGGGTTTCGATGACTCTTCAGGTATGGATACTGCACCAGGCTGAGCTGGTCCTGAGCCAGATGTCATCCCACAAAGCATCTGTAGCACAAGAGATGTGGCCAGACTTGAAGCACAGTCCTCTGTTCCCAGCTCTGTGCCTTCAGGAAGCTACCAGCCACAGGTCAGGGACCACTACAGGGCTGATCGGTGTCACCTCTTGAGGATACATTTAAACATTGTGATTCTATAAGGAAATAAAGGCTAAGGGGACATCATCAGTCTCTGAGTCATAAATATGATATAAGGAGGGGTCACAGGACTGGATCACTACACCGCGATCCCATATTCAAATTGGCTCTCATATCCAGTTTCAAGCAAGAGCAGGAATTGGCTTTTCCTAACAGAGGAGGCTTGCAGGATCCACTGCTGTGGGGTGAAGGGATCGGCACGCATTAATCACTTTCCCTGGGATAAAATACCAGACGAAAGCAACGTCAGGAAGGATATGTTTGGCTCCTGGTTCAGCGTGCATGGGAGGAAGCCGTGCTGCTGGGAGCTTGAGTGATGATCAGCCATACTGTATCCACAGGCAGGAACACTGCTGCTTGTCCCTGCTTCCTTTCAGCCCATGGAATGCCACCACCTATATTTCTTGTAGCTCAGTCTGCCATGGAGTTGGCCGGCAACAGGGCTAGATAAGAAAAGTAAACAGCAGGTGAGGCGCATGCCCAAACACTGGTTACTGCAGCCTTGCTTAATCCCAGCCAGTTGATCATCGTCAGCCATCACAATGCCCAAAGGCAAATGAAAAGTGGGTCCCATCTACAGTCAGGAAAACAACAGGGGCTGGTGCAAGACACCTCTGGTTCCAACATAAAGAGAAAAACTTAAGAAGTTTCTTCAACATGAGTCCCTTTTATTTATGTGGTATTGCTTCTTGTCGTTTTCTTTCTTTCTTTTTTTTTTTTTTTTGTTGTTGTTGTTTTTGAGACAGAGCTTCTCTGTAGCTTTGGAGCCTGTCCTGGAACTAGCTCTTGTAGACCAGGCTGGCCTCAAATTCACAGAGATCCGCCTGCCTCTACCTCCTGAGTGCTGGGATTAAAGGCGTGTGCCACCACCAACCGGCTTTCTTGTCATTTTTTAAAACACTGACTCAACACTTCTGTATTTTACATCCTTCTAAAATTGATTAGGTTTTTTTTTTTTTTGTTTGTTTTTTGAGACAGGGTTTCTCTGTAGCTTTAGAGCCTGTCCTGGAACTACTAGCTCTTGTAGACCAGGCTGGCCTTGTAGAGATCACCTGCCTCTACCTCCTAAATGCTGAGATTAAAGGTGTGCACCACCGCCCAGCTAAAACTGATTAGTTTTAGAAAAACTGTGCTTTTTAGAAGTCATGGCCACAGGACAGTCAGGAACCACTGTAGTGCTGAATGACCATCCCGTGGGTGTACAATAAACATGACTATCCAGGAAAAGATGGGGGACATGCCCAGTGTGAGTGACACAGGCCACGGGAGCTGGGGCCTCGTCACTCTCTGTCCTGGTTACTGTTCTTACAATAACCAGGTAACTACTCCAAAGACAGCTACTGAAAGGAGAAACAGTTCATTTCAGCTCACAAATCAAGGAGGTGACAGCGCAGGAGCTGGAGGGAGTTGATCCTGCAGTCAGGAAGTAAACACAGAGAGCAACAAGAGATGCTTAGCTCACCTCTGTATTCTTTTTAAAAATTAGGCCAGGATGCAACCTTAGGTTATGGTGCCACCCACTGGGTAGGCCTGCCCACCTCAGATAACCTAATTAGGATAATCCTCCAGGCCGGGCAGTGGTGGCACATGCCTTTAATCCTAAAATTTGGGTGGCAGAGGCAGGAGGAACTTAGTGAGTTCAAAGCCAGCCTGGTCTACAAAGCAATTTCCAGCCAGGACTGTTACAGAGAAACCCTGTCTCTAAAAACAAAACAAACAAAAAACAAAACAAGATAATCCTCCACAAACACAGCTAGAAGTCCGTCTCCCAGGAGAGCCTAAGTCTCATCAAGTTGACAATTGAGATTATCTTAACTAGGGTTTCTGTTGCTATGAAGAAACACCATGGGGGCTGGAGAGATGGCTCAGAGGTTAAGAGCATTGCCTACTCTTCCAAAGGTCCTGAGTTCAATTCCCAGCAACCACATGGTGGCTCACAACCATCTGTAATAAGGTCTGGTGCCCTCTTCTAGCTTGCAGACATACACACAGACAGACTATTGTATACATAATAAATAATTTTTTTTTAAAAAAAAGGTTTCAATCACTTTTTAAAAATTTAAAAAAAAAAAGTTAGTTCCAGGACAGGTTCCAAAGCCACAGCGAATCCTTGTCTCGAAAAAACCAAACACACACATACACACATGCGCACATAAAGAAAATTACAGACCACTGGTTTAAAACCACAGTTTACTGTTAGCCATTCATGAACTATGGAGAAGGCAGTGCACGGCTGTCATCTTCAGGATCTTGGGCCAGGCTGGCTTCAAACTCACAGAGGTCTGCCTGCCTCTGCCTCCCAAGTGCGGGATTAAAGGTGTGCGCCTTCTTTGCCACAGCTGCCACCACCACTACCACCTGGCTAGAGATTCAGTCTTACGATTCTGAATGTTTCTGCATACAAAATGGTAAAGTCTGGTAAATGCTCAGTTTTCAGAGCTCAACAGCTGACAGTACACTCGGTTATAAAAATCCATAATATTTAGCAACAAATTTTATCAAAGCATCTGAGTAAATCATGCTTTTAGATTTACTATAAAACGTGTTGAAGCTTACACAAATGCCAAATTAAATTACTTCAAACATTTGGGGAAAAAAGCAGGGGAGAGGGTGTTATGTTAGCTCAACTTGTTCTGGCTTCACCCTACCAGCCATGGTGGGGTCCCTAGGCTGCCTCCTGCTTCAAGGTCCTCAGTGCTGCGCTGGACTCAAAGCTCTGGGTCTGAGGCCCCCAGAAGTCTCTTTAAACATAGACTCCGCTAAATCTTCAGAGAATTGTACCCGCTGCCTGCTTGACTGTCACCATCTCGGAGTCTCAAGGGCCCTTCCCCTACAAGAACAGGCTGAAGCTCCTGGGAGATGGCTGATCTTGGCTGTCAACCTGACTGGATTTAGAATTAACCACAAGGCACTCCCCCAGGCATGCTTGTGGGGGATGTTTACAACTGTCAAGTAAAGTGAGAAGATCCACCCTAAAGGCGAGCAGCACTAACTAGGGACTGCCGAGGTATGAGGCGGTCTAAGATTTGATTTTGTTGTTCCTCTCTACCAAGAGAGTCTACCTTTTTGCTGCCATCTTTCACTTACACCAGAACCCAACTTCTTCGGCCTTTCCAGGATGCAGACGGTCACTGTTGGGTGACCCAGACTGAATCGTGAAAGTCAACATGTTTGTTTACTTATTTGTTTTCATTCTATCAGTTCTGTTCCTCTAGAGAACAGCTAATATATCCACTTACCACTCATACCTGACCACAGCAGATACGACAATAATACAGCAAAATAAGCTTATGTTAAATATCCCACACAACAAATCTTAAGAGCAGCAGGGGTACCTGGCCAGACCGACTGGATCTGCCAACCCCACCCCAAGACTGCAGAGGCAGGCTCCTTTTCCTAGCCTGTGCCCAGCTCCTTGGACTCTGTTATCTTCTCCCTCTGTCTCTTATGGTCACCAACTGCACGTTGGCCTCTTTTCTATCTTTCACTGCTATATGTAATCCAAATCTAAGCCACCTTTGTTCCTTCCTCCTAAAGCCCAATTTAGATCTGTTCCTCTCTTCCTTGCCGCCTCAAACCTGTTTGGATAACCGCAGGAACTGTGTGCGTATCCATTACTTTCGCAAATAATCACAGAGCAAGGAATGTGCCAGGCTGAGTTGGGAGGCGGGGACACCACGGGGGCGGAGAGCGCTTACTCTAAAGTCTTGTGCCCAGACAGGGACCCCCATGTCCTGACAGTGACCCTCACCCAGACTGGCGTTCCTTTTCTTCTCCCAGCGAACCTGAACGCCTTTCTTTGCACCTGTTGTTCCCTCTGCCCCTTTTCAGAAATGTCACCTCGGAGACGCCTCCCCTGTTGCAAGTCTTCAACTCCTTTCTTTTTGGCCTCCCTGGTCTCCTGCCGCACCAGTCGACCGAATCCCACCAGCACGGAGACCGCGTCTACGCGATCACCACTACACTACCAGAGTTTTGACTGCACGAACCCACCATCTGTACCAGCCTGTCCCTTCAGAACCGCGCGGCTCTGCTTTGACCCTCTCCCGCCAAGACTGTGCGACGCACCGCTCCCTGCAAGACCTTAGGCCCTACGGCGTAGATCAGGTACTCAGAGTCAATGAGAGAGGTAACCAGAGTAGCTTCTTCCGCCCAGACCCGCTAGACGCCAAAGGGTGGAGCCCTGCGGTCCCGGCCAGCCAATCACCGCGCGCTCCAGGACGCGCAAACCGAGTCCCGGATCCTATAAAAGATCTGCAGGAAAGAAAAAGCAAACCGCTGCGACGCCCTCGTGCAAACAGCCGCTGTCCTTTCATTCTCCACCGCTCTCGTGCATTGGCTGAGGCACCTGACGTCATCGCTGCGCGACGACGCCGTCTTCCCGCTTCTCAACTCTGACGACAGAGCGGCGCCGACCTCCGGGTCTGAGAAGAGCGGGAGGAGGTGGCGGCCTCGGGAAGATGTAAGTTGGGGGAGGAATCCGGCCGCATCCGTACTTCGGGGACCGCCTGCCGGGCTTGGTGGGGCGCATCGTGGAGCCGGTTGCGTCCCGCAGCCCCGCGGTGTGGTAGAGGCCTGCCGGCGACGCGCACAGCCCGAAGAGAAAGAGGGGTTCAGGTCGGGCGGAGTGGGAGGCGTCGAGGCCGCGGCCCGGAAGTGGTCGCCGCGGTCGCAGACGGAAGGGCGATCCCGCACCGTTAGCTCGGCGGCGGCCGGCTTAGCTTGCGGGACTCCCGGCAGCTGCGAGCGCCGCCTCTTCTCTTGTTTTCTCGTCCAGCTGGAGACCTCGGCTCGCCACGCCGGGCCCTGCCTGAGTTGTGAGTGGAGAAAGAGGGTGGGAGGCGAGGTCGATATAGTGGCCGGAGCGGACGGTGCCGATGGTGAACCGGCCTACAAGGTTGGCTTTCTTTTAGATCTCTTCCCACGAGTGTTTATCGATCTCCTGTGTGCAGTCCTCAGCTCCGGGCCTCGAGGGTCCGGCCCCCGGGGTGGACTGAGCACGGTTACCGAGCTGGAAGGGAAAATAT